AAATTGCTATTGCATTTCGTTTCCATCGCGTTATATCTTGTAGAAGTCAAAAATAGGGCCACTCAATCACATGGCCCTACGCCTATTTAACAGCCCGTCACGGTTGGCGCGAAAGCCGACAGCTGTCCTGACTGATGGCGAGTGGTGCAGCAATCTACTCGCATATCGACCGATGGGATTTGATTCTACGTTATAGGCACCTAGTGTGAATTGCTGCCGAACCAAATTTATACTCGGTTATTGCAGTAATACTTGGCAAGAATTTCTCAGGTCCACTTGTGCCGGCGTTTAGGATGCCCGTGGACTATGTTTCGTGAGTCTCTTACTTTCTTTACTCGAGCACCTCTCTGATAATTCGAATAAAACATTGCTGTTAAAAACTATTTTGACTTTGGTACTAATCATTATGAACTAACAAAGAGTGCCCTTTTATACAAAATATTAATACTATAAATTACACAGAGCAATAAAATACTATAGTATTATGATTACCTATGAATCTCACCAGGTTATATTAGTAAAAGTTGGAATTAATAATAGTAAGTTGGATAATCAATCTATGCGCGTGGTTGAAAGAGTAAGCATAATCCAACAGTGGTACCGTATTGTTTGTTTCTGACGCTGAACGTAGGGAGCGATATTCCATGTTCAGAACAAATCAATACTTCTTGACAATCTCACCAACGTGGAGATAAACCGTATTTCCCGGCAAATAAGTCGCTTTTATAGACACAAATTTTTGACCTGATTTGAGAGGGGGTGGGGGGATTCGTCTTATCAGGCGAGTATGATAATTTTCATTTTTTTTGGTGTCGCCTTATTATTCAATTCGGACCATAAAATATCTTAGGCTATAGCATCCCCTGACGCAACTATGATATATGTATAATACCATAATTACGGTAATGTGAGGTATATTCAATTCCTTTTTTTAACATAAATTTACTCGGTGGGATATTATCGCTGACCTAAGGTTTTTTACGAAAGAAATTGAAATTTTTTTCATTTCTTGCAATTTGAAGCGTATAAAATAGCTCTTATATATTATTTAGTATATTTCGCAAATTTTATTGTTATCCCGGCGTCGTTAATGACAATATCGTTCTGTTAAAGTTGACTTTTAAATCAAAAGTTAAATCAAAAGAAAATGAAATCAAACAAAAAAATTGGAAAATCAAAAATAATAATAATAAATAAAACAGAAAGGCACAATAATAAAAGAGTAATGTAGAATTTTGAATTTCATGTTCGTGTGCTCATTTTCGTACATTACATTTATCCAAATATCATATCCGTGTGTTGTAGGAGCGCGGAACGGATTAGGGCATTTACAGGTAAAATGCGTCCCCACTTACGGAATTTTCTACCTACGAAGGGGCTTCCGGAACGAATTGATTTAGTATAGTTTATAGGTATAGTTTCTACTGTAAATGGTTATTTTCTTGCGACAGAATTCAAATTTGTTGACTGACTCAATAGCCGTTATTGCCATACAATTATGACTGAATCATGAGAAATGTATTCGGATATGATGTATCTGAAAATATCTTCTTTCAACTTTGTAATGCCGCATTTCTATCACCAGCAATCATAGTTTTAATTTATTTGTTACATTTTATTAGTGTCCGGTGCTCTGGTTTAGCAAATATTAGTAATATTATTTTGAGGTAAACCCATGGGAGATAAATATGTATGAAATGTTTGTTCGAAGTGCACATCAAGAAAGGAAGTGATATCTGAGACGAAACGTAACGATAAAGATTATTTGTAACCGTTGAGTTTCTACAATCGGCTGCTTGATTAATCGGTCGACTCTAACAGCTCAGACTGCCGCTGGAAACGACAAAATATAGACAGGGCGGAACAGAAATATAAGATGAACAGGAAAGATAAGTAGCCTACTGACATATAGACATTTGATTTCCTTGCTGTTGAACGTTTTCGAATAAATCTAAACCGGGTATATGAAGTAGCGGGGATCATACAGTTGCTTACTATAGAAACAGCTTGCGATTTTTACAGTTAACTATGATTTGGCTTTTTATCAAACGAGTATATTGAAAAAAGACGAACGGCTGACATAAATTTATTTTCAATAAATTCATTCTAAAAATACTGAAATACATCACCCTGAAAATTATTCCGCTAACCTTTTTCTTGTTTGTAATGGCGTTTGTCTTTTTTTGAGCGTTTTAGCAGGGTTATTGGTGTTTTTAGATGTGGTGTTCTGACTGCTGGATTAGCTGGTATTCCTTTATTGAGCCAGTCAACTTGCTGACATATTTTTTTATAGTATTCAATTCATATTTCTTGATTTAATATTTTTAATAATATCTATTTCAAGTTATCTACTTTGCATTTCTGTGAGCGCGTGGTTCGTGCTATATAAATCGGTTCACTGGCGAGTGTTTTTGTCCTACCTATGTTTGTAAAAATATCTTGATAAATTAGCGCGTCAAAATATTTAATACAACCATTTCGGAAAAAAACTATTTTATTTCATTCGAGTTCCAGTTTTCCTGACTCGTATTCGTTGTTTTGTTTTCGAAATATAGGTTGGCTTGTGATGAACTAATTGTCGCAATGCTATACTATCAGTGTCACTCATTGGCAATTCACTCTTTTCCTGTGGAATATGTTCCAGGAGGCAAATGATCTCGACCGAGTGTTTAATATTCCGTGCAGCATCGTGCATTTTACAAATTAAAAGATTAATGATCTGTAATTTCGACCAATATCGTTTAATTCGTTTGTGCAAGTTTACTCAGCTGTTGTGTGTCACATGCATCATCCAAATAATTTGAATATTTCATATATATTATAGCAATTAGCTTTCACAATGGACGATTTAAAAGACAAGAAAGAAGTTCAAGTTCAGAAACAAACCTATAAAAATAATTTTGATTACATATTTAATCTACTGGGGGTTATGATTGGTTTTAGTAATGCAGTAATAAAAAGTTAGTGTAGAAATAGCTGTGATAGGCTAGGCTAAAATTCTTCACCTGTACTTTGAAAAAAAACAGATTGTTGTATTCGATGAATCATAATGATGGTTCGAAACACATACCCCATTTTACAGGCGCCAACTCGCAAAAGTACTCCTGAAATAGCCCCGAAAATTTTGCAATGGTAAAGTATAGGAAAAATTTTCGGGGTTCAAAGGTCGGGGAAAGATCCATTGTGCGAGATTTCCCAACGGCGCTCGCTATCAAGAAAAAAACGACAAATTTGAAAAGTCGTCTTTGCGTTGTGTGGTTATATGCTTATCTTTGAACTTTAAATATTAGGTATTCTAACGACCTAACACCGAAAAGTCATTTCAACATTTAATTGTAATCAACTTTATGTTCGGTAATGCAAGAAATGGCTAATGACATGTCACCAAGCATGCGGAGTTTAAAATCTGGGAAATTTATTTTAAATACCTAATATTTAAAGTTCAAAGATAAGCATATAACCACACAACGCAAAGACGACTTTTCAAATTTGTCGTTTTTTTCTTGATAGCGAGCGCCGTTGGGAAATCTCGCACAATGGATCTTTCCCCGACCTTTGAACCCCGAAAATTTTTCCTATACTTTACCATTGCAAAATTTTCGGGGCTATTTCAGGAGTACTTTTGCGAGTTGGCGCCTGTAAAATGGGGTATGTGTTTCGAACCATCATTATGATTCATCGAATACAACAATCTGTTTTTTTTCAAAGTACAGGTGAAGAATTTTAGCCTAGCCTATCACAGCTATTTCTACACTAACTTTTTATTACTGCAATTAAATTAAAACTCCTAGGAAGACAGAGTGATCATTGAATTATCTGATTTATATTTAAGTTTCCGAAACACAACAGAAAACTAAGGAATAGAGTTCAAAAATGCGAAAACGAGGTAATGTTTACGACCACGCTTGAAAATCTGTCTGAGTGAGAAAGTGTCTGAGCGGATGCGAAAAGGGAGCATTGTTACGTCACTTTTTTCATCTTGCTGATTGGCCAATGTCACGAAGTAAACAAGGAAATCGATGCTCGGGGAAAGGTACATTCACGATTGAGTTGGAAACGCGCAATTTCGGTGTCCAAGCAGGGCGGCGCAGGTCACGTTGTACCGTATATTCGAATAGTAATATGCCACTCGAATATTTTGCCCAGTCCTAGTTGTTACGTGTGTTGTGTTGTTACAATGATTTGGTATTTTAAATACGCTCTTAAGGATTGTTGCTATTTTACCTTGCGTTGTTTGTGTGCGGCTCTTCATACCTTTGACGTTTGAAATGCGGCTCTAGGACTGAAAATGTTTGACAAGCACTGATCTAGATTCTAGAACAGTGCTTGCCAACTTTTGTTAGCCGCGAACCATTTTCAAAGCAAACTCGCAGCGAACTCACTAACATTAATTAAATACTGATATATAGCAGGGGTCGCCAACCTGCTTTCGACCGCGATCGACTAAATTCTTCAAAATAGATCGCGACTAAGGTCCTACACAAAAACGAATGGGCACTGAATGTGCACATGACTGCACACACACCTACAAAAATTCCACCACTGCCAATAAGGAGGCTTTGTGGGAACATTAATACTAAAATCGACAAAAAATTTGTATTTTTTATGTTTTCATTCAAGTTGTTGATTTGATTAATTAATTGTATGCAAGTGCAAATGCAAGTTTTTCCGCTGCCAAGGCTTAAAACGGAAGTGCCGAATATCGCGTGTCTAGACTGACAAACGATTCTACAATAACTTCCTGAGTATGCAAAAGTTATTGTCTCACTCCACCAGAGTGAGAAATTTTATTCACCATGGTAGCAGTGGCATCAAAATGCCCAATTTGTTCTAATTCTACGCAAGCGAAGAATCACGTTTAGAGGAAATTGTGAATTAGATACTGAAGTAATTTTGACCAATATCGTTTAATTCGTTTGTGTAAGTTTACTTTTTAATTGTGTGTCATATGCATCGTCCAAATAATTTTAATTTTTTATATATATTACAGCAATTAGCTTTCATAATGAACGATTTAAAAGACAAGAAAGAGGTTCGAGTCCAGAAACAAACCTATAAAAATAATTTTGATTACATATTTAATCTACTGGGGGTTATGATTGGTTTTAGTAATGTTTGGAGATTTCCATACATTTGCTACAAAAATGGAGGAGGTATGTAATCTTCATTAGCTTTTACTATATATTACTTTAACTTATTTGCTGTTATGCGTTTAAGACAAAGTCATTACCGATTATACTTTCATCTACGGATGATTGTTAGCTTTATCATTTTCATTTTCCATGCATTGGAGGAAGTCGTTTTCATGAACTGGTAATATTTACAATCGTGCAAATTCATAATTTGGTTTCAGTATTTGGTATTGTTAATATTGTAAAATCGCAATCAAGCACGATGATTGCCTCAAACCTTGCCCAATGGATAAATATTTTGTCAGGTGTGCAGAACTTGAAGCATTATGATATTTCCATCTTCTTATATATATACTGTATATATAAGTGACTGTTTTCACCAGCCTTCTTAGATCAAAAACGTGAAAAGGTAATAAAAACTTCTTAACTGTTTTGTTTTACACAGGTTCATTCTTGTTTGCTTACTTGATATTTGCGATATTTATGATTTTTCCCTTGGTTTTGATTGAAAGTGCTTTGGGGCAGTATACTGGACGAAGTGCTGTGAAAGTGTGGAAGATCATCCCATTGATTTCAGGTAATATATTCGATATATAGAGCAGACATTCCTGTGCTTTAAGTTTGCGCAACACCTTTGACTATTGATTTCGACATGGTTGGATTCCATGAGAGTCAGAAACAAATAAATAAACGTTACACTCAGTTTCCACATTCAACACCTGGAATTCGGAATTCATTATTCAATTAAAACTATTTTTTTATCATTTTTATTCTTTAGTTTTTTAAGCTATGTTTATCCGACATCCCTATTTGCATCCTTAATTTGCTGATAATGGTATCATTTATGTTCGTATCGATATTATCTAACTAACCAACCTAACCAAACTAAGCATGGAATGTTTTATATTTAAGGAATGGGGTTCGCGTCCCCCATCATTATGTTTTTATGCAATGTTTACTACCCCGTGTTGTTAACTTGGACTCTTCGATGGATTGTTGCGTCCGTGACTGAGAATTTATCTTGGACACGATGCGATAATACCTGGAATACGAACAGTTGCATTCCACTGTTTATCGAAAATCAGGTAATCTACATGTAACGTAGAACAAGCATATTGTTTTGGTTTTGTTTGTGAATTTTCTTTAGCGTAGTTCTCACATTGATAAAGCGGTACTCCCGAAGTATGTGAACCAAGATGGCGGGTACATTCTACGTTCCGGTGTCCGCCATCTTGGTTCACATATTTTGGGAGTACCGATAAAGCTAGTTATGACTGAATTGTTGTGACCACAACACACTTGTAAGTAACTGGACAAGGCGTCGCAGTTTTCATATTATCACTCTGAATCTGCTGTTTGTAATATTCGACTTCGGACACAAAGAATTCTGAATTGACTGAATTGTAATTGTGGAATTAGTTGAATAAAAACATGCCCTTTTTTTAAAATATTATGAAAATCTTTCCCAAATTTGCAGCGGTGAAATTTTCTACTTGAAGGCTGCTAATACTTTAATAATTTTTGTTTTTATGTCATTCACCTCATCTCAGATTTTGCTGATTTAAAAAAAAATTTTTTGATCATGCGACACCATCCCACGTGGATTTTCTGTTGCCCACGAGTAAAGGCAATTCGTTTCAACATGTCTGTACATTGCTCTAATTTGATCAGTTAGAATGATTTCATAACATTCATTAAAGGTGAATATCACTGGATCGATGAGCAGAACATATTTGTATATGAACTCAACAACAGTACAATCCTCCGTTGAAGAATTTTGGAAGTACGTTTCTATAGTGCTCAATAATCTTTTATGAATTCAAAATATCCCAGGGGATTTTTTTTTCGCGCGTCCTTTCTGCTAAATAATACAATATCATAAATTTTGTATGCTGAATATATTAAATAAAATTACAAGAGTATGAAAGGTACATCTTGGTTGTAAGCAATATAATATACGTTTTGTATTAAGCAATCGCATCCTTGGGATGACAGATGGAATTGAAAATTTGGGAGAAATGAAATATGACCTTCTTATATGCCACGCAGTTATATGGATTCTCGCTTACTTTGCCGTTTGGAAAGGAATTCAATGGACTAGTAAGGTTGGCATCATCTTTTCCTCGTCTTTCACTAGCGTCAAAACATAGCCCAAGTTAGTGTTTATGCTTCTAAGAAAGTGCATAGCATATAGCTGTAGTTTCATATGAAGGAGTTCGTCGTCAAAAAGTTAGAGAGTTCTTCATCATGTTTAAAATTAGGTGTTGGGAATGAACTTGGATATAACCAAAATATTGAATGCTATTTTTGCTATTAGTGGCCCAGCCATTTCACTATTTACTTAAATTTCTGATCGTTTTTATTTTTTCTTCTACAGATCGTCTACTTCACAGTCTCGTTGCCATTTGTGATGTTGATTGTCGTATTCGTTCGAGGAGTGACTTTAGATGGAGCGCAAGACGGTATTGATTTATATCTGAGCCCGAATATAACTAAGTTAGCTGAAGTGGAGGTAAGTGAAGAGGAATTACTAATATACAAGTTCATACTAGTACCTATCTGCTGCTATGAGAACTGTGATATAACATAAACTTGATTTCGAATTTATATATCTTTTCCATAATTTGAAATTTATTGAGTTCAGGTTTGGCGAGATGCGGCTGATCAAATATTGTTTTCTGTTGGAGTTTGTGCTGGAGGAATTGCGACACTCGGGCAATACAACAAATTTAATCACAATTTTTTAAGGTATTTATTGAACTATCAGAGTCTTCTCAAGTTCAGACGAACGAACTATTCTACGCTAGCGCATGTCTGTGACGTTTCAAACGTTAATTGTCCTGCATTTGATATAAAAAAAAAAGCTAACTATTCAATCTTAGTTCCGGATTGGCGTCACTATTTTAAGCAAATTGGCAAAACACTGAAGCAAGACAAGAACTCAGTTAAAACAAAAGTAGCAAATGAACAAACATTCGCTATCAATGGGGTTGCTAAAAAGAACTTATCAAAAACCGAAGCGGACATTTTATGAACTCGGCAAATTTTTCTGCTCTTTATTTACCAGGGATTCAATATTTCTTATTGTTGCTAATGCAGTCATAAGCTTTCTTGCTGGATTTGCAACGTTCTCCATACTCGGATTTCTTGCTTATTCGAAGGTAATAAGTTGCATTTATATTACACGCTTTTGAACTTTGGGAAGTTCTACTTTTTAGCAAAATTCATAGAGAATTGGATCGATAACACGTCCATTTTTTCCAGCTATTTCATACCGTCGGAGAACGTGTTTGTATTGCATTTAGTTTATTTTCATCCTGTACAGTTTCATTTTCAATTTTTGGACATGAAATGGACCTATGGATCGTTTTGTTAATATTATGTTGTTGTACAAATCGTCTCTCTCTTCAACTACAGCACCATTTCACGTGACAAAGCTTGTTGTTGTCGCTAGAAGTCTATTACTTTATTTATTTAAATAATATCTGTGGGCTCTATGGGATTCGTTTTTCAGTTCAAAGTTTTGTTGGATGGCGTCATGAAAATTGCGAATTGCGTGCTGTGGTTCGATGATCACATCTCAGTGATCTGACTACCGGTACTGCTTAAGATTTGATACTACTTCGTTTTGGCTTTCGTGCCCTTATATTTTAGCATCATTCTCTTGTTATCTAGAATACGACGGTGGACGAAGTTGCAAATTCTGGACCAGGTCTCGTTTTTGTTGCCTATCCTACAGCGTTATCATTGCTGCCTCTGCCTCAAGTATGGTGTGCACTGTTCTTTACCATGTTGCTATTGCTTGGGTTTGATAGCCAGGTTTGTTTTGTTCATTTATTTCGTTTTGTTGTTCTAGTAATTAATTTAATTTCACTATTAACTTTGTACTAACGTCCCTTTCGCAAGTCCGTAAGTGATCAGTGGATTTGTAACTCGTCCGTCTATCAGCACTCTTTCCACTTTTAGTTAAGGAGTCGAGAACTTGCGTCGGTATACGTGAAAAAAGTAAAAACATGCTGTGGGGTATTAAATGGTGATCACGTATGTCTACGTTCGATATATCAGCCATGTTACTTGCAATACCCCACAATTGCATTACTAATTTAACTAAATAATATGCAAATGAATACAGGTCCTTATTATATTGTAATACTCGTTTTTTTTTAGTTTGTTTATCACGAAACGTTCATCGCATGCATGAGGGATCAGTTTCCTCGGTTCTTCAGAATTAAATGGGCAAACGAGATTTGGACTGGAGTCGCTGCAGACATTTTATTCATGCTCTCATTACCGTTGCTAACTATGGTAATATTTCGTACAAATATATTGCGGTGAAAATAATTTCAATATATCATATCATTGTATCATTTCAGACTGTAAAAAATAGGTCTTGTGGAACAATCAATTTTTTCTGACATTAATTCTGATTTTAACAGGGAGGAATATATGTTTTAAATATATTCAACTCATATGCAGTAACAGGATGGTGTCTGTACTTCATTTCACTGGTGGAATTTATAGCCATAGGTTGGATTTATGGCGTTGATGAATTTTGTGATAAAATGAAACTTATGCTGGGGTTTGATGTTTCGAGAATTTTGTTGAAGATCTGCTGGAAATTTATCGGACCCGCATTGTCAACGGTAATCAATCTAGAAATTGTTGAAAAAAAGTATGTCGGTTATGTCGTGATTCCGTTGAGATGGGAATTCCCCATCCATATGTTGGTCTTATGGCTTCAATTAATATAACTTCTACTATGTAGTCTCCGGTGAGCGGTGTTAGTTATAGCTATTTCATACGGTACTCGCCGTAAATATCAGTGGTTTCAAAACTCTAGAATTTTAACTTTTTGAATTAGATATTAAAACCTCGGGTGTCGCTGATCGACAGCTTTGGTTCCCCACGACTTCCCTTCTCCCGTAAAACTATGTAAATTATAATTTTCTCGTAATTTGTGCTTGTGATATTTTGTTTACTGAATGAAAAAAATTGAACTTGACTTGACTATGAAACACTCGACTATTGGGTGCCACTTTGGTATGCGATCTCATTTGCCCAACGTGATCTCGATCGCATACCAAAGAGCCACCCAATTGTGTTGCCATTATGGTATAGGTTTAATCTCATAAAGTCATTATCATGGAATTCAGATCATAACCCAAACTAAAATCACACAACCGCTGAGATAGCATTCCAATATAGCACCTACTATTCATATGGAGCAAAAAGGGAATGTCGCAGTTCACCATATCCCTGTGTTTCATAATTGAACACGAAATGCGCAAAATTTTGAAAAAAATTTTTGACTGTTTGTTGTTGCTGTCGGGAAAATTTCTTCAGTATGCGTCTAAACTCTAAAGCAGGGGTCGGGAACCTATGGCTCGCGAGCCATATATGGCTCTTTTGGTGACCGCATATGGCTCCCAGTGAAAATCCAATATTCAAAGGTTAATCTTAGTATTGTTACCAGATTTCAGACTATTTTATGGCCAGGTATGGCAGAAAATTCGCCAACGCGCTTGATAAACGCGCTCAGCGCATGTCTATGTTTTGTGAGAGAATTGACAGACAAGCATTGTGACAAAACAGAGGATTCTGGAACTTTGAGACATCACGAAGTGATAGAATCGCGGAGCAACGAAGCCTTCCGTCCTATTGTACACTTCTCATTTGTAACTTTAATATTGAGACTGGATTAGCAAAACTAATTTTTAAAGCACTACAGATATGGCCAACAGAAAGAAAGATGATGAGTATCGGGAATTTCAGCTTGAATGGACAGAGAAATTTGCCTTTGTGGAGAGAAAAGGTTATTTAGTTTGTCTAATAAGCAATGCTCAAATTGCGTCGATGAAACGGTCGAATGTAAAGAGACATTTTCACACATGCCACACATCCTTCGCATCTAAATATCCAGAGGGAGACATCAGGAAGAGGACATGCTTAGAACTACTACGCCAAGTGAAAGCGAGTCAGCAGCAACTTCGAGCATGGTCTCAGAAAGGTAACTGTAATTCGGCTAGCTTTGCTGCCTCTTTAGCAATAGTGAAGAACGGAAAGCCGTTTACAGATGGCGAGTATGCCAAAATATTTATGCTTGATGTGGCCAATGAACTTTTTGGGGACTTGTCAAATAAAGATACAATAATAAAAAGAATTAAAGACGTGCCTCTGTCAGCACGTACTGTTCACGATCGCGCTATCATGATGGCAAATGAAGTGGAGGAAATACAATTAAGATATAAATACAGCAGAATTATTTTCTCTTGCTTTTGATGAGTCTACGGACGTAAGCCATTTATCACAGTTCAGTGTAATTGCAAGGTATGTTGTGGGTGACACACTGCGTGAAGAAAGTCTTGCTGTTTTGCCACTGAAAGGAACAACACGAGGAGAAGATTTATTTCGGTCTTTCATGGAGTTCGCAACGGAAAAAAAGCTGCCGATTGATAATCTTGTTTCAGTGTGCACTGACGGAGCTCCTTGGATGATGGGGAAAAACAAAGGGTTTGTAGCGCATCTTCGTGAACATGAAAAAAGACCCATCCTAAGTTTCCACTGCATTCTACATCAGGAAGCGCTTTGTGCTCAAATGTGTGGCAAGCAGTTTAGCGACGTAATGAATGTTGTCACTTCGGTGGTTAATTTTTTTATTGCCCGAGCTTTAAATGATCGCCAGTTTAAATCACTGATGGCTGAAGTTGGAAACAATTATCCCGGTTTGCTTTTGCACAGCAATGTGCGTTGGTTGTCAAGTGGGAAGGTGCTCAACCGTTTTGCAAAATGCTTAAATGAAATCCGGACTTTTCTTGAGATGAAAAACGTTACGCATCCTGAGTTAACCAATCCTGACTGGCTCCGGAAGTTTTATTATCTCGTGGACATGACTGAACATCTTAATCAGCTCAATGTGAAAATGCAAGGAATTGGAAATACAATCCTATCCCTTCAACAAACTTTGTTTGCATTTGAAAAAAGGCTGGAGTTATTTATTGAGGATCTTGGAACAGGTCGTCTGTTACATTTCGAAAGGCTGGAAAACTTCAAAGATGTAATCACTGCAAATAATCCCACTCATGATTTCGATCTCCAGCAGCTAGTTGACTTCACATGTAATCTCCTGCAGTCATTCAAAGCGCGATTTGCAGAATTTCGTGAGCGCATTAGTCTTTTTAAGTTCATCACTCATCCATATGAGTGTGCTGTAAACGACGTCGACTTGAGTTACATTCCTGGTGTCTGCATCAAAAATTTTGAGTTAGAAGTTGCTGACCTAAAGGTTTCAGACGTATGGGTCAACAAGTTCAAATCACTAAATGAAAATTTGGAAACACTTGAACGACAACAAGCGGAGCTCGCGATCAACCATAAATGGACAGAAATGAAAAAACCTCAACCCGCAGACCAGTTGATTGTCAAAACTTGGAACGCGCTTCCTGCCACTTACCGCACACTGAAAAGAGTGTGTATTGCTGTATTGACCATGTTTGGATCCACATATGCATGTGAGCAGTCGTTCTCACACTTGAAAAACATTAGGACAAACCGGCGATCTCGTTTAACAGATGAAAGCCTCAACGCCTGTATGAAACTTAACCTCACCAATTATCAACCAGACTTCAAGACCCTCAGTGACAACATGCAGCATCAGAAGTCACATTAAATGTATATTGGGACATTGTATGTTTTGAATTTTGAGTACAAATTCGTTTTATGGCTCGAACAGATATAAAATTGAAAATATATTCGTTTTATGGCTCTCTTGACAATAAAGGTTCCCGACCCCTGCTCTAAAGTATCAATAAATTTCAAATTTTCCGTACTTATAGAAGGATGGCCGATTTTTGTTTCTTTGGACACGTTATTTCGCCCAAATTGTTGCTGTTTAATATTAATTCATGGACACACATTGTCATGAAACATGGGAACACGGTATTCCGTAACGCTTGTGCGTCGATCATTCTTCAGCAAACTTAGTGCAACTTCGACGTACTGATGCGCGACTTTTGTGTCCATTTATTTCAGCATAGATCGCTTGTTAGTCCATGTTATTTATAATGATAATTTTGTATAAACAGGCTCTAATAATATATTCGTTATCTTCTTATCGCCCACTCACACTTGGACGATCGTATGTTTATCCTGCATGGGCGGATGCTTTAGGATGGATGACTGCCTTGAGTTCGATGCTAACAATTCCTATTGGAGCAGTGTATGTGCTGTACAGAACAGAAGGCGCTACACTTTGGGAGGTAAGGCATTGTTCTTGCAATGTTCTCGTCTCAATAATGTATTTTATATACCGTATAATATAAACATTTTGAAAAAAGCTACACAACTATTCACCATTCAAGTTTAGAACTTTTTGATTTGATTAAACATTTTGCTTTTTTTTCTAGAAACTTAAGAATTCAATTCAAACTCGTGATTGTTGCAGAGAAGAAATCAAAAATGAGTTGAACTTAAAAACATCAAACAGCAAGGACGATGATATTGACAACCGTTGCAACGAATCTCTCCTATGAGAGCTGATTAGTTCAATTTTAATTAAGAAAAATTGTCATTTTGTGTGGTGACTGTGTTTGTCCTTGTTGTTCTGACCTCATTTGAAAGAGATGTTACGTTGTAAACGGCCAATCTGATATGAAAATAGTTCTCTTAGGTCGGAATTCAAACTTTTAGTGTTTATATTATCTTACTATATATTTTGCCACCGCCTGCATTGCATGCGCATCGCGTATTTGACTCGTAAAGTTGTCGAAACTGGCCATGTCGTGACTGTTTGTATGTATCATAGAATTGTTGTATTTTAATTGCATTCGCTTTACCCGTATTGGAACATGGTTGGTTGGTGTTTTGTCTTTGTAGCAATCGCCGATAGAACTATTGATTTCAATGGCATGGGCCATCGATAATTTGGATTTGCCGAATTATCGGTGACGCTCGATGCATTGACGTTAACAGTTCTTTGCTTCGATTTAGTTGGTATCGTAATTGAACATTGAAAAACAACTGTTGCATTACCAAAGATTATTCAGTGTATTCATTATTATTCAGTGTTGATAGAATTACAATCACAAATATCGACCATGACATCGAATTTGACTATCCCCAAAAATGATAAATCGGGTACATTAAATCAACTACAGTTTTGAACTGTTGTTCATTGGTTTGACTTTACATCGAAGCAAGGATGAAGATTTGTATTGTCAGCACAATTGAGTAAATTGCAGATAAGACAATTTGGGAGATCATTGAAAGTTCAGACCAGGGTTAGGCGCTAGAATCCTCTTGGAACTGACTTTTCTGGCCAATCCCGTAAAATATTACTCATAGGGCGAAGTTAAAAATCATCAAGCAGTCAGATTTATTTGTTAGTTGTTTTTCCTATACTATATCGTACTGCAATGACGCTCGGTTGAGTAGTATGTTTGGGAATTGGCGTTTGTCGGCTTGTCATCTCAACATGAATTGTAGCGTCATTTTGGTATGCGTTTAATCTCCTAGAAACATTCTCGTCTATATTTCAGTTCTTAACTCAAACTAAAATCGCATACCAAAGTAGCATCAGCTGAAATTGTCATGGCGGGGGATGTTTACAGTCGCGCATAAGGCCGTAAGAGTTAACATCCTTCCTTCCGTTGCGGAAATCGAATGCGTCTTGCATTTACATAAACCAGGAAGTTTTCAATAACGACGCGTTCACTAAATAAAACGGTAATTTTCAGGGCATGAATGGATACATAGGCAGGGGCGTGCCAAGTTTTTCTGCTGCCCGGGGCGAGTTTCTGATAATGATGCTCCTCATACCTAACTTCAAAAATAATACGGGGAATTATCAAATTATATATTCTGTTGTTATGCGTGAGAATGAATAAATTAAAGATCAAGTAAGAGTGAAATGTTTGTATGGTAATTGAATCATCAAACTAAGCAACAAACTCACATGTATAAGATCGAACTCATTTATTAACAAAAAGCAAGTCATTTCACATCGTTCGTCAGGGATTTATTTTCGATGCTAATCAAAGAGAAACTTGACAGGGGCTAATTTGACATCGAAGACCTTTTTATATGTTTCAACTTTGAGAAAGATCGTTCGCAATTAGCAATCGAGTAGCACAAAATAAGAAAAACATTCCATCCAAGCTCAACAAACAAAGCAAAAAAATCTTTAGCCATTTTTGGAAAATCTCTGTTTCCACTTCGGAAAAGCGACGTATCAGTAGACGTTTTAGTAGCCACACAGACAGATATTCTGGCATGGTTGTAAACATTACCTCGTTTTCGCGTTTCTGCATGCTATTTGTTAGTTTTTGCATATGTTTCGGAAATTTCAGTACGAATCAAATAACTCAATGATTATTCTGTCTTCTTGTATAGTTTGATAGCTGCTAATCAAAATTTGGTCTAGAAATAACTGTGACAGAATAGGCTAAACTTTTCTACCGGTATGTTAATTAAATAACAGGGTTGCATATTTTGAATTAAAATAATTGTTTAAAACATATAAACTAGTTCAAGGCGATAACTCGCGAAACCACCCTTAAAAATGAGCACCAAAAATGTTGCAATTGTAAAATAGGATAGTAAGAATTTTTCTGGGGTCAAGGGTCGTTGAATCATCCATTATTGACTCACCACAGTCAGTCATACAAGTCTAAACACATTATGTCATCTTCTAATTAAATAAAAACACATTAAGAAAAACATGTGTAATTACGCAAACTCTACATCTTGGCTCTGCTGCTCCCTAGAACGTGCTGCCCGGGGCGGTTACCCCTTTGGTTCCCCTCTAGGCATGCCACTGGACATAGGCCATTGGCTTGGGATCTTCATTAAGTTATTTTTTTAAAACTATATATTTAGTGAGTTTCTTTAACTTCTGGAATCATATATATTTGTGACTTGATGAAACAGTCATATAAAAATTAAAATCAGTTATGAAATTATCAGGACATTAATAGCTTTTACCTGAAAATGACCTTTACATTAAAATATCTGGATATTGAGATCAACGTATTGAATTATATTAAATAAAAATTATTATTAACGTCATGTAATTTGTATGTCTTACAATAACGTAATAAATATATCAAAGCTAGGAAGTCCGCAGAGTCTGACATTGTTTTAGCATTGAAGTCGAGGTAATTTTAAAATTGTTATCCGCAAATCAAACGCAGAAGTCAGTTTCTATTTTGGACACGTATTGGACCTATGGATCGTTTTGCATTTTTTTTTAGACACTTAGTGGAAAACCTGAAAAGTCGCATTTCTCTTCGATTACTGGACCAATTGCTTTGAAATTTCCAGTGGTTAAGATGAAATTTTTTTCCAAAAGTTTATTACTTTTATTTATTTCAAATACATTTTTTAGCTCTTTTTTGTTTGCTATGACATCACTAAACGTTCTGCGGACGCACATCAGCTGATTCCAAGCTCGGCGTCTGCCGGTGGATCTGGTGCTTAGCGAATGTGGGAAGTTTTTTTATGCCGAACGGTGGACTGTGGGACCTGATCTGGTAAATAGAAGTAATCCTGATAAGGTACTGGAAAGTTACCGCATACAATTTTGGGAAACTGGCGATTTGCTCTGCGTGTCCATATATTTGAGCATAGCTCTCTTGTTTCACGTACGTATAACTCCAATTCGAATGAAACGTTTCTGCGACTACGCAGCTTGGATAAAAACCTGATTATAGTCGTGACAAAATATTTGACTCATGAACGACAAGATCAGGAACAGATTGTAATTCTTTGATAGAATTAACTCTGAGCAACTTTATTGTCAGTTCGAATTCATCATGTAATATTCCCAAACCTTTTTGAGCTCCTTCTTCCCCACCACAAGACCCCAAATTATAGGCCTTCCCACGAAAACAGCATTCGAACCAAGACAAATTGCTTTTACTACATCAGCGCCATTTCTAATCCCACTATCTAAACTAAATAACTTTCACATCTTCCGTTTGCAGCTTTTGCAATTTTAGATAGCACGTGTATTGCAGGTATTGTACTATGTAAGGGCCGTCCTCCATGATTTGAAACGACTATTGCCTCAACGCCATGTTCAGCTGCTTCCAAGGCAATTTCCACGGTCATTATTCCCGTGATTATGATTGGTAGATCAGAGATAGTTCTTACCCAATCAATATCCTTCAAGTTATCAATTGGTCCATACTCAAATTATAAACGTCCATCCTTTCAAAAATATTTTCATAGAAATTCTCTTCGATACTTTTAGTTGCCAAACTTGGGCTGGTTGCAATGTCGTTGTACAAGTTAACGTATTTATTACCTTGAGCAACATAATCATCCGTTACAATTATAGCGATGTACCCGTTTCTTTTTTCTCTTTGAACTAGATTCTTAGAAACCAATCTATCTTTTGTTATGTACAGCTGAAACCATCGCAAAACATCAGGAACGGCTTTCGCTGGGAAGCTTATCTTTTTTCCTCTAAGCGTAGAACTGCTGGTATCAACTCTTGAAACATCTCTTAAAACCATGGGTTGAAAACGCCAAGAATCGAAACCTGTTAATTTTTTTTACAAGGGTCTGGCTGTCAGTTTCCACAAATCTGACAAAATCCAGAAGTCTTCTTGGTAATAGCTTGGCGGCCATTATTTCAAAATCCCTCACGCGAATACAGTCGTCCATATTGCATGTGTAACGAAACACGATTACTGAAGAGAAATTCCGAAAATTACATGTAGACTAAAGCTAAATGAGCTTTGTTGTAGTCTACCACAGTGTTAAAATATTGTGTGAAGAAATGTTAATCTACTCGACAACACTTAATTTTGGGTTCTTAATTCTGCGATGACATTTCTTCGTAATCAATAACATTGGATTCTCCTGTCGCATTTTAAACTATGCCGCATGGTTTATTTCTCCGGATGACATGGAGGTTTCGTTTCACGAAATCGGAAATCACGCAATGTATATGTATGTACGAAATGTTTGCATGCTTTGAGTCTTTTAATTATACCCTGTGTATTGTTTAATGATTGACAATTAATCGAACACTGTGAAATAAGTATCGTTGGTTTTCAATGGTCCATCTCTACTGTGACGTAACGCGTCTCGCACTTTAATTTCCATGGTTACCGCTACGTACACTGTTGTGCATGGGGTCGACTTCCTTTTGTTGAAACGGCGATTGCTTGGTATATATACCAGGTCGTTTTTAAGTTTATTTATCAAACATTTATTTCGATTTTATTCTATTGATCAAGTTACTGTTAGACTTACCCAAGGGTGCCGCCGCTCGATAACCAGTTTTGGTTTTCGGCGTCTCCTTTCACCCTGGGATGCGATTTTTTTTTGCATTTTCTTTAATTTGTGTATTTATAGTCCGTACTTTCAGCATGGTGAAGAAATAAATTACTGATTACTGATATCAGGATGGTTCAAACCCAGGCCCTAGTACTACACGTGGACTGTAGCATCACAATCTTTGGCCCGCGTTATATATATATATATATTAGCTGCAGAGCCCTCAAAAAATCACATTATCTGTGGCCGGCGTCGCATTTGCTAGAGGGTAATTAAAAAATCGCTTTTTGTGGTATTTCAATATAAATATAGACAAAATCCTTTGACATATTGTCACATCACAAAGGTCATTGAATTGGCTAGTGTTGTGGTTAGCTTAGACCAGTGTTCTTCAACCTTTTTTTTTATCGTGGTATACCTTTTACAATTTTTCAAGAACTTTGTATACCTTACAAATACCAATGTTCATTCAATACCTAAATAAACATTAAATTTCAAGCACAGATTGTACTGCAATATCATCATGCAATCTATTAGGCTAGTTATAGACGTTGTGATTTGACTGCCTTTCCTTAGCGTGAACGGGAATATTGCTCAATGTAAATCGAGCAACATGCATGGCAGCCAAAATCACCAACCCAGACAAGTGCCCACATTATCTATATAATTTGTGACGTAACAATGTGCTCGAGTCGGTTATTTGCGTAAATACCATTTTATATTTCATGTGCGCCTTGTTTGCATTGTTGTCTTTGCTTGAATATTTTATAATTCATTATATTACAGTTTAGAATCCATGACTTAGGCTGTACACCCTTCGTATACCCTTTATCAGCTGTATACCCAACTTATGGTCCGGTATACATTTGGGTATACTGTATACCCGGTTGAAGAGCACTGGCTTAGACCAGTGGTTCTCAACCTTTTCTTCTTTTGTGGTCCATTTTCGTTGCCCAAAAATTCTCGTGGCCCATTAACTTTTAATTCAAGGTAAAAATTACAAAAAGAACCAAAATCTTTGTGCGAAAATGGGCACTTTCCCTTTAATAATTAGAATGAAAATTACCATTCAGTGGCAGAAAACAGCATCGTCAATCATTGGTACTACAATCAAAATTAGGAAAGTGATACAAATAAAACTAGCAATTTTCAATAGTTCTGTGGCCTCCTCAAAATCTTTCTGTGCCTCAGCAGTGGGCCATGGTACACTGGTTGAGAAGCAGCTTAGCTTAGCTTACCTTAGACAATCGGATAGGTTAAATCCACTCGACCCGGCACTTTCTTATTGGACACGTAGTGGACATAACGATCGTTTCAATATTATGTTGTTGTTGTTGTTCTTTGACACGTTTTTAAAAAGTCGCTTTTCTCTTCGAATACTGGACCAATTGCTTTGAAATTTTCAGTGGTTAAAGATAAAAATTTTCTCCAGAAGGCTATTACTTTTTTTTTTGCTATGACGTCTTCAAAATTATGTGACTCTACGTGTCCATATATTTGAGCATAGCTCTCTTGTCTATATTATATTTGTAATTCGTACTTTCGCAAGCTGCTTCAACTATAAAAAACGCTAAATGTGTTGGCATAATAAAAGTGTTTCATATTGCGATGTTTGCCTATTCTTGGAACTAACGAGACCAGCGCTTTGCGACTCTCATTGCATTCCACAGAATAGGCAGGGTTCTGTGCGGGCGTAGATTTACTGTTAAATATATTCTCATGGCAGTAAAGTTACATGGCATCAACACTAGTCGTAAATAAGCTTGCTAAACTCCTCTCTAGTTTTATCTACACTTTGTGAGCTGTGAACAAAATAAAGTTCCTGTGTGCTGCCGTTCAGCCGAAGATGTTAGTTTGCCATCATATCGCGCAACTCCTTGTCAAGATCATCATTACAAGGTGAGGTCGATGTTTTTTTTCTGTCTATTGGGGCCATCGATTGCGAGCTTAGAAGGTTTAAGATGCCGAGTTAGTCACGGGTTTGTGGAATTTTGTACTAGGCCAGGGCTACTCAACTATTTTCACCAAAGGTCACCAAAATTTATCGGAGTCCGGTCATTCAAAAAATTATATTATAACTATGCAAACAAACTTCAAGCCCATCGTTTAACAAAATATAACAGTGTTTCTCAATATCACGCATCGGTAACGGTATGACAAGGTTTTAGTTTTCAAGCAGAGCGATTTTCAACCGGTGCTCCGCGGAACAAATAGTTGTCCCTAGTTTTTTTTTTTTTTTTGGCCTATTTTATCACAATGAAAAAAATAAAACCACATCCGCCATGCACGTATTTAGTTTTTACGAAGATTCCGTTGCGGGTAAATAAAGTTTCCCTCAGAGCCGAAACAATAGTCAAACAGCATGGTCGTTAACATTGACTCATTTTCGTAATGTTAGGCGCCATGGATAAAATTCTACTATGTTTTCAGAATTTAGGTTTGAATGATTATTCGCTGATTAAGATTCACAGATACCTAAACCTAAAATAATTAACTCATTAAGTATTATTTTCATAAAATGAAGAGAAAAATTGTCGAACTCAGAAAAACCCCGGATTTTATGGAACCGGTAATGACAAAAAGTTTTAAAATCGAGGTTATTAAGTGTGGCGCGGCGGTGTGGCTCAACGGGCTAAGCGTTAGGAATACGCTCGCCACCGCACTTCTAATTACTCTGCGTGGGTTCGCAGGTTCGAATCCCATGCGGGGATGGTTATGTGCGAGAGGATTGCTGGACTCCTCGCCGTCGTTGGGTGGTTCACGTAACCGCTGGTCGGTTACGGCTTCCTCCACCACCAAGTCCATGCTTCCGAAAACAAACAATACAGTAAAAAACTAATCCCATACCCGACTAGGAATGGTAACCGGACGAGAGGCCGTGGTTCGCCATATGGATAAGCCGTCTTATCGGCTTTCTTCTCCCCCGGGATAAATATGTAAATCCTATCCTAAGTCTATCGCATAGGACACAATCAAAGATTTTTTGGAGAGGACTCCGTCAATGAACGCGACCAAAACATACTCTACTCAAATAAACGAATCTGTTCTTAATAATACCCAACAAATGTCAGAACAGAGTGGAGATCTGATAGGTAAAGTGATCTGATAAACTGATGGAGGAAGTAAGTGGCATTCAGGCTACAAATAATACTCTACATTATATATTATCGAATACATTTGTTAAGATGGCCGTAAAAACACCATTTATCATTTGCGCTTTCGCAATTTTTACAAAAAAAGAAGCACGTACTGCTTCACAATGTGATAAGTTTTACCCCCTTCCCATGACGCCGTGCGATCAAATTCGATTTACCTCGAGTTCCTTGAAAAATTCATGGCTCTCGCATATTTCCCATGCCTTGTTTCGAGATGACGCCGCAGCTGAACTTCTTGTAAAGAACTGTTTGGTAAGACCTCTAGGCACAACACACAATTGCTGCCTGGATTCGCCATTTACCTCAATCGTAAGCAACCCAAGCTTCACATACTTGTCACCATGCGCGAGTACCTGCTTCAGTTTTGCCATGAATGCGGAAAACTAATTATTAGAGGCGCGCAAAATCAGTGAAAGGCGCATAAAAAATCCAGTTGTAATTATTATTGTTATTCTGAATAAAAATAATAGTTGTTGCCAATATGTCTGCGTATTCACCAGAGCACTTTGCGGCTCGCATTTTGAGTCTGCGGCATCAGGTCCGAGAAACACTGATCCAGAATTAGTTTTGTGAGAGATATGGTGAAACATCTTAACTGCATGGGTGAAATTTATTTACAAACTATCAAAAAAGCAAACATGAAACATATATAACATATATTCTGCGATGCTTTAATAAATTAAAAACAGTTGTGTAGAGGCGATATTGTGTCTATATTTGATGTTAAATGTGTAAGCGATTAAACAATCATAATAAAATGGCGCGAAGACATTTTTCAAGCTACAAAAGTTAGTCGCTGAGAACCTGCATCTTTGTACCTATTTGCCAAAATAAGACTTCTGGGTCTTATTTCAATTTTCATTTGAAGAATAACACTGGGACTTATTTTGGGGATGTCTTTTATTTTCATTTATCAAAAACAATATTACGAAGGAGAGAATTACGATGAAAAATATGAAAACTGATATCAATTTACTTATAAATATCACGTTTTTATCAGGTCATCGAACCTTTTTATCTCTCACAGGTTTCAGATTTATCATTTAAAACGTGTAGGAGAGATTTCTTGCTATCGACCAGGTCAAAAAATTTCGCATTATTGACTAGGTCTTATTTCAAGGGGAGAGCGTATATTAAAATCCTGTTTAAATTCAGGCTAGGTCTTATTTTCGGGGAAATACGGTACCTCTTGAGTTAATAATACGCCGAGGGTAAAACAATGAATGGTTAAATTATAAGATATGAAAATACGGAGATTTTCAAATAATGCGGTTCATAAGAGCGTTCGGTGTACATAAATTATCATATTGAATAACATTACATTTGAGGGCAATATCTATTTCGCTATTTAGTAGATCAACAGAGATGAACACCGTTAAATGTTGTTTCATTAAAATCTTAGTATACAATATACAAAAAAAAGTAAATACAACAAACATTCAAATACAAAAATATTACAAATGTAGCAATAACAACTCGTTAAACAATGAATTGTTCGTTAAACGACAAGAGACTATAATAGCATGAAAATATATTCTATTGTGTGCGATTGTCAACATTTTGTTCAGATGAGAGTACCGGAACTGGGATAGTATAACATGTTTCCGTTTACAGCGGGTGGACGAAGAGTACCGAGAGTGGGTGTGTATAGAGTGCTTTCGTTTACAGCGGGTGGAATGAAGGGCACCAAAAATGTGTTGGATCAATAGCTTTGTACACAAGTTCAGTGACGCGGTTAGATTTTAAAATAAGACTAGTTGAGTTAGTTTGGGGGAAATCGATTTAAAAAGGGCACCGTTAGATGTTAGTAAACCTATATACATTTGCAAAACATTGAAACCGTTTGGGGTTATCTAAGCATGTTTTCATTACGTGCACAATCAAGATTCATTAAAAATATACTTTAGGTGAAAAATGCAGTTTAAAATAATTTAGTGTGTCTAACTTCTGGTAATATACAAGCGAGATCGGCTCGATGTTGTTCAATAACAGATGACGATACATGAATGAGGAAATAAAATAAGATAAACGATTCACTTTGTGTAACAATGACGACCGCAATTATAAGTATTGTTCAACTTTCCTGTAATAAGCGCTTATCTGTAACCTAGAAGTTAAGTGTAAACAAGTCATTGTGTAGGTTTTCAGTTTAAGGTTAAACAGACCATTCAAAATGTGTAGAAGGAAGTGTAATATCATTTTTGAACGGTTTGGGAAATGGCAACTTTGAAACTATATACAATTGTGTAAAAATAATTCACAATCTGTACAAAAATGACAAAATAGAAAGAACGTACTGCTAATATATTGCATGGGCCTCCGCCCTTCGCGCACTGAAAGAAACAAATATTGCATCGAAGAACAACACGTATAACACTATAGCGTATATTGTTGTGCAAAACACAGCAAACACACAGAAAATTACTGATTTCCGATTTGTGTAATTCCAATTTGTTGGACAGTCAACAAAAAACACACAAGTCATTGTATTTTTTGTGTATAACGTGCGAGAGTGTTTCAAAGTAATATTGTTCTCACAGTGCAAAGTACATCCTACCAAAATAAAGGTTGAAAATGAGCAGGTCGTCGTTGTCCTTTTCTAATACAACAATAAAAGGTCATTCCCACCAAATCATTGATACACAAAATTCAAGAGCTTAACTCTTCTGGCTTTGCAGATAGATGAATTTCACCAATAATACGCTCCCAGATTAGCACACTTTTCATCTCGCATTTAAAAAAAGCATTATACCCCTAAATAGTTTAAAGGACAGACGCTGGCCAGTTTTAAAAGTACTAACTTCAAACGGCCATGTCACATGGTCTTGTAGAATACTTCACATTTGTGGTAATCTACCATTAACAAAGGTCGATTAGCCCGAGAATCATTCTCAAAAATACATGAAACAAAAAAGCAGGGATGGCAATAAATACTACATGCAAGCAATAATAGAAAAAAATAAAAAATAAAAACGGGAGAACAGAAAACAAAAACATTATGACGTCACTCGCACCAGGGCGTAAAAGATAGCACCTGTGTTACAGGAGTTTGTTTGTGTAAAGACAGCGGGTATTTATCGAGGCGAATATAATATGGTACAAACTTTATCGAACCATACATAGGTGCAGACGGGTCGAAATTGTATTTGATCAATTATAGATCATAAATAAACATCAATGACCATACATGTTATGGTTTGGGTGAAAATAAAATGTTTTTAGAATTGTGTAAAGTTTTGGATGGAAAAATATAATCGGAATTAGGATTTCCTTGGAAGAGTTTCAGAAAAATAAATATTATTTGCGATCTCATTATAATTGGGCGGTGCTGACCTAGGCTTCCCATACTCCAAAATTAATCCTAAAATTATCTATAATGAGTTCTATACTCTATCACCAGCTGCGGGATCACTCCCGTCTGCAGTAACCCCCATATCCTTGAGGGGAATTTTCAGAGATTCATCCCGCCGTGCACCACCTGGTTTCATTCCATTTCTGTGAACAAAAAGTGTTTTCGTCAATTAAAGGATATTTTCAACAAAAAAATGGTATTTCTATTTTCTACATGTACTCATTCACAGGTATACGATGTACGATGAGGATGCTGTAAAAACGTGTACTCACCGTTTAGCAAATAAATCGCTGATTTCGTTGAATGTTTTTCCTTTTGTTTCTGGTAGTACAAGAGCCAGAAAAACTGTAGCGCAAGTACATACAACCATGAATATGAGGAAAACCCAAGGTCCAGTTACTTTCTGAAAATGTAAATAATATACGTTCAATATTACTACGGAAACCGGAGACAACGCAATATGGTTCAATTTGGTTGCAGTAGGCGAAACATATTGCGAAATGTTGATTGCGATTTACGCCACTGCTCATCAAATCAATTACTGGAGACTCAATTCACTAAACGTTTGTAATTCTATATCGGTACACCAGCATTAGAATGATTGGGCTTCTTGTCAAATGAAATCCTTTGTATCGGGTTTGTTTCTCGTCCTGGTATGTCGGAGGAAATGAAATTTTGATATCCGGGACTATTTTGGAATTCGAAATTGATAATGAGATTCGATAATTTAATATGACAACCTGGTTCACTCTCCTAAAAACATCTCTCCAACCGGTTGTAGAAAACTTCACCGTTGGAAATCTCGCGACGGGAAATTTTGCCGCATGAAATGCAACATGCTTTTGAAGTATCTTTTTATTTAAAAAAAATTCCCTATTTAAGAGCATACCTTAACCCTGACACGATAAACCTAACCGTTTTTATCATAAATACTTTTTTTACAGCAAAATGCTCTTGCGGCGATATTTCATGCAGCGAAATTTCCTGCGGCGAATTTTCCGGACACGCTCCAACCATAAGGTACAAATTATGCGGTACATATATACAAAATTGTCCGTCAGATGAGATACTCACAATAACAGCAGGGAAACTGATTCCAATAATAAAATTACATCCCCAGTTAACCATACATGAAATCATGAAGGCGGGTGGTCTTGCAGCTTGTCTGAAAAGTTCGGCGGTAACGAGCCAGGGAATAGGACCTGAAATGGAACAAGTTAAATACCAAATGAAATTCTGAAAGAAGCAAAACGAATAAAACTGATATCGATAATGCCTGAAAAAACATAAGAAAAATGGGCGCTCTAAAAGTGTGTGTACCAATATGGAGGTAACTAGTTCGGTTCGCCTATTCTACATCAAGTTGTGTGAAGAGACTGAAACCTATGGGCACTTGGCTAACACAGACAGTCCCCGAACTCGTAATTGAACTGAAATAAGGAAAATAGGAATAAAATTAAGGCCTAACCCTAACCTGGTAAACACACTACGGAAGTACCGAAAAATGTAGTTTATCCGAGAGCGCAACAGGACAAGTAAATACTTCGGAGCATAGTTACAAAAAAGGTTCATTTTTCTAAGTCTCAATTTTTTTTTTGATTTACAACTTTGAATACAATTCATTTACCTGGTCCTATAGCGAATCCAACAATGTATCCAATAACGCATGCAATGCTCAAGTACGAAATCCAACCCTGTTAATATAACAATATATGAACATATGGTAACAAATAAAAATCATTCTTAGCCAAGCAAGACAATAGCTGCCAGTAAAATTGTCAAATAACATGACATACGGTTATTGATTTTTAAATTATATCGCCGGGTACCATTTTCACATTTACCAGCCGCCGAATGGAGCTTTCGGGCATATGGTCAAACAGAGTCGTCAAAACATGGGAACTTTATGTTCATGCCTCAAATTTATACAGTAATTTTTGGGGTTCATGCTGAAATAAAATATCGTGGTCCTTTATACAGTTCAGTAGTATAAATAAACATGAAACATACCCCAAATGCCAACATGAGATTTAAAACGACAGTCATGGCGATGCACCAGAATATCATCATGCCGAATCCCCAAACTAACAGCGATTTTCGTCCGGCCCATTCGATAATTCCAACCTGAAAATCATAAATAAATTAGTAAGGAATGGGGATGCATATATGGTAGCAATCGCCGTTTGAACGACCTACTCCATACAGGGCTGTTGGGTTACCATACTGACAAAGATTTGATTCTTAGAGCAGTCAGGTGTAAGGATGGTTATATGACCTCAATCGCCATTCAAATTGTCTCTCTGTAGTGCAGCGAGTGAAGGGACATAGACTCTGGAAACCAAACCTTGTTTTAGGCATCGGACACCTTTTGCGTATCAATCAATATAAGAGGCAAACGCGTGATCTTAAGATTGTTGTTTTGACAATTATATTAAACCAGAAAGCAGAACCTACTTTTAACTGCGTTAACTAAAACATTAATATGTGCTTCGTCCTCACGAGATTGCCAAATGGAATTCAACCAGGTTATATGCACTTCATTAAAATACCTTCCAGACTATATATAGACAGGTAAAATGACCAAAATGTATTTATAGACTTACGCTGACGATTGTCATAAGTACGTTCACAGTTCCAACTCCTACTGACGCCAAGTCTTGTTGATTTCCCGGAGGAATACCAGCGTTTGTGAAAATTTTGTTCGAGTAGAAAAATACCTGAAAATATGAGGAAATTTGATTATACCTATAAAATTAGGATTGAAAATTTGACAAAATCAAATCGATTTGAAAAATGATTAACATAAGTTTTATGACCCATCCTTGGGCCGGTCGTGATTTTAAATCAAAACATTTGTTTTCTGACAAGGGCGTTTTTTTATGCCGAGCCCGACATGAGACGAAACTCATCAAATATGTGCTTTTATGTCGGACAGATCTTTTCAAATCTTATACCGTAAACGGTTATTAAAATCTCTGAAATTTCATTACAGCATAGTCTTCAATCTCAGTTTATGCAAAGGATACGTCGAATTCGAATTTGTCAAAGTGGTTCGATTACCCAACCGCCCCAACGAACCATGTTTTGAATTAGAATAAAAAAATTCTCAAATTTCCAAATTAGCTGTTTGATTCCTACTAGCAGTTAGTCGATATAAATTTAATAATTATGCAACGGTCCCAAAAGCAATCTATCTTTTGACGTTCGGCGTCGTATATCTCGGAAACAATTCCATGGAATGAAACTCAGTTACGAACAATGTGACGCTCAAATTATAAATTATATCAAAACAAACAGTTCTGAGAACTATACTTCATGCAGACAAACTGCAAATTGAATTTGCTGAATGCAGATGGAGCAAAGGGCAAATAAGTGTTGACGGCGGCAATTGAACCCGTAGATGTTAGTTCTAACCAGATTAAACCAGAACAAACTTGTTCTATTGTCTGCGGGGATTTCGCAAATCAGTGATGATTGATGCATCAAGTATCTAGTTTACCAACTTGTATATAATTAGATCATAACCGTGTGTATCAAGTATTTGGCGACTGTCTGGCGAAAAATAAAATGCAATACTGCAGAAGTTTGCATCAGAAATTGCGAAAATGCAAACGTGTCACTACCAATATAATGTTTATTTACCGCAAAGTGACGACGGCGTAACACGAGATTGCGAAACTGTCTATCGAAGTAGTTCAGATGCGATCACTGCGGCTGCTATGGAATGTGGATCTTCCAGCCGCATATTATGTAACGATTCCAAATATTTAATATCAAGCATGATGCAAATATAAATTGTGTTCACATAGCGAGATCAACATGTATTTTTCCGAGTTAAAACTTACAACCCAAGAACATGAAGCAAATATCAAATACGCATAAAATGATTACATTAAACAACACCACGTCATGGGATAATGACGTCAAAATAATAGAGAGTGAGAGACGAATCTACAATAAGCATAAAATAGTTACATTAGAGATTAGACAACAGCACGTCATAAGGTCGTGACGTCATAATTAAATTTTATAAGCGATGAGTACATTCAAAAAATAAACTCACGGCGTTGATTCCAGATAACTGTTGCGAAACCATCAAAAATAAAACAGTGATCAACTGCCATCGAACGCTTCTATCCCGGAATAATTGTACAATTGTAAGTTGTCCGGCGGATGCTTCGGATTCAGCCTCTTGACGCATGTCATCCATCTCGTTGACGACATTGTCTGTTCCTCTGAGTTTGACCAGAACTATGAGAAAAATCAAGTTTCACTTAAGAGTAACCCATGACGCATATTTAGTAGCCTAACAGGAAAAAGCTTAGTTCGCGTTGTCAAAATGATCAAAATCAAGTTTTTCATTCCAAGTACACATGACACATAGCTGGTAATCTAACAGGAGTAAGATTATTTCGTTGTCGAAATGATGATACATATCGATGAAGTTTCGAACAGATAATATCGTCTCAATATAATCTTGATCGAAGCGTCCACATAGTGAAATAGGAACTTGGACACAAATAAACATTTTGAATCGTTAAAGTATTATTTGAACGCGAGTTGCTGACATCAACAACCACATTAATACTATGTTATGGCCTAACTGGATTATTATTAAGTTTATACCCCATTTTGTTATTAACCAAAGTCATTATATCAGAGCGAAAATCTCGCTTAATTTAATTCGCTTTGATTTTCATTTCTTCAATTAAACCAGCCTTTGGCCCTGGCTGTCAAAATCGTCTGCACCACAAAGTTCATAACATGAAAGATTGAATAATTTATGAATGGCTTAATTTAAGAAGTTCAATACTTCAGAAGGCCAAGAAAACATTCATAAGGCAAAAAACAAACTGTATTTCCGAAACAATCACTCGGGTTTTGGGTCCCGGATTGGGTTTTTGTCTACCCAGTACCTATTCCATGCCTATCTACAATAAGATCTAATGATCCGATCACCCAATCCAAGCCAACAAAATTAGCAATCTAACCATTTCTGGCTTCATCTTCTTTATGCTGATCGATGAGTAAGTAACGAGGACTTTTTGGCATAAATGGAATTGATATCATTTGTAGAATAGACGGAACTGCAGTAAATGCAAATAACCAAGGCCACATTTCCGATGTTCCCATTACTCCCTGGAGGCCGAATAGCTGTATTTCAAAATAAACGAACATGATTTAGACATTTTGAAACGTACGATATGCCTGCTGAATTGACCTGTCAAATCAAAGGTCATAACGGTGTTTCGTTCAAAATGTTGTTAAAACATGAGTAATATGAACGACGCCATCAGACGGTGCCGACCGGTCACGTATCCAGGTTATTGGAAAAGTCAGCTGATAAGGCGTCGAATCTGAAGACCCCTTGTTCAAAATAATTTGTTATAACGCGCACTATCTGTATCATACCTGAGCCACCAAAATACCAATAGTAATGAGAAGTTGGTTCAAAACTCCAATAGCCCCACGCCATTCTTTGGGTGATATCTCGCCAATGTACATCGGCACAACTCCGGTAGCCAAACCTGAAAAAAATGTCGACTTATGAAAGTGTTTATAAAAGGTACCATGTCAAAAAAGGGCAACTTGAGAATATGATGAAATGTCATAGTTTTGAAAAAAAAATGAGAATCAGTTATAAATATTTGAACTCAAAATTGACAACTCTCACTAGAGTAATGTTGTCCGTTTAAAATAATACATGCACTGTCAAACAGAGAAATGCATATCAATTCGTTTCAACTCGCGATAAGCGATGTGTAAATTCTGAGAAATTGTTTCGTCGAACTTTAGACGACGCCAGCGTAAGCAATTGATTTAAAAAATGTCGAAGTCAAGGTGGGTATTTTTATGAATATCGTCACTAGTCCCATGATTTCGTCACTATTCCCGTGAGGTCATCCGGCGATACCTGGAGCCATGATGATGTCACCTTGGCAGCGTGCGGAGTGGCATTATCTCGGAAATGCCGTCATGGTTCTCGTGACGTACTTCGAACGCGTGGCGTTTCTCTAATAACGACGCAAAGCATCGTACGTGACGCAACTAACGCACAGGTGGTAAACAGATGACGATACTAGACGGAAAGAATCGACAAAAATAACCTCGAAGAACAAGGTCCAAATAGGCATCGATCTAATGGCACAGGGTTCGAAATGAACATTTCTCATCGAGGAACAGAACTCGTCCAACTGGTAGCGCTGGAACATACAATTTGCTGTAAAGTCGACCCAATCGAGAACCTCCGAGGTGTTAAAATAATTGCTCATTACTATTTCAGTTAAATATGATGCAATTTGGCGTAGTGGAAAGGGCTATAAATCTTTCAAAATATACCAAAGTCGGGCGTGGTGAATGAATATAGCATCGGACATGATCAAGTCTAAATAAACCAAACTCGTTCTAATTACTCTAAAACATTTCATAAATGTAATTTAACATAAACAAAACGCTCACATCCGCTAATGCCCGTGGGCTACAACAGACAAATTCCCAACTTCACTCCAATTCATAAAGAAAAGATCAAAAGGAGATAATTATGGCGATAGAATGCGACTCTACAACACGACAGCGGTGCCAACTCGAGGGATTTACTTCTTACATGAATCTATCGAATTCAGGGCGTGTACCATTATCTACTTCGTTGTGACGATATTTTTCAAACGGTCATTTTCCAATAGCCCACAGCAAAAGGATTCTGCACTTGGCGGTTTTATAAAACGTCACTCTGGCTTAGAGGAATTATGATTTGTAAAATGTTTAAAATACTGTTTACTTCGACTTTGTATTCCGAGGGATACAACTTGAATCAGCTTCACTTTATCATTTATTCATAAACTTGGTTTGAATACAAACTAAAAAAAACGTAGGCGATTTCGCGTGGATTTTCTGTTGTGATAATCCGCCGTCGTAGTGACGTGGCAGCGGGCGTTATCCCGGACGGAAACCTAACAATGTTTACTTAATGCTCCTAAGTGGACAAACGAGATTAAAATGACGCAAATATATTTTTTTTCATTGGTTACGTAAGATGGAACCGCCTCAGTTCCGTGTTTCAGAATTCTCGTTGAACTTGCGGTTATGACAATTTTCAACAAAAATCAAAAGAGAACAGGATATCGATATTTGGCGCTCCAGAGTCTGTGTACCAATATGGAGGTAACTAACTTTGTTCGCCTACTTTATATCAAGTTGTGCAAACGGACTGAAACCTATGGGCAGGGGGCATATTCACTTGGCTAACACGGGCAGTCCCCGAACTCGTAATAGAACTAAAATAAGGAAAATCGGAATAAAATTATGACCCAACCCCAACCTGGTACACACACTACGGGAGTAGCCGATATTTTGAATATAGTAGCTTTTCTAAAAGGCTGTATTAAATAGACGCATGGTTCACATTAAGTCGAATGATGGCGATTCTACCACATAGTGAGTCATCCATATGTGGGAAAGGTTCTTTTTCTTTTCTTTTTACAACAAAAAGCGGAAAAACCAGTTATGCGCATCGTTGACAATAGATATCTTGACCACATCTTGCGTCTTTATATAAGAGACAAATGCCACGTGGAGACTATTTGAATTCGATTCAAATCAGACAATTAAATCGCCACAAAGGTGTGTGGCGTTATGACTAACCAACCACTGCTCGATACACCCTCTTAGTCAAGCGACGACGGGATTGGTTGAATCGCGAAGGAGTGTCAACGATTTGATCTTAATCATTGTGATACGGTATGCGACAAAATAAGTTAGAATCACAGGATATACCTGACAACCATATACATATACTACCAAGAAGAAATATACTACTGCTGGTAATACCATCTTAATCAGTGGGAGGCAGAGATATTATATTACAGTGGTTATTAATTTACTGAGAATAATAAACAAAATATTTTAAACCTCGTCTTTGGTTATTGACAAATTAACGAATGGCAATGTTCCCTTTATAAATTCAATATTATAAAGTTCATTTAAATTACGGAAAATATACCGTTTTTTTTTCAACCGTACACACCCACCCAGTCAATGACGATACTCTATTATCACGGTTTCGAGAGTATCTGCCTCGACCTTGTACTGAAAGTGGCGTGAAAGTCAAGGTAATATGTATATTCCCAACATCAATAAACAAGGTCGAAATTCCCAGACTCGCTGAAGTCATTGTTCAGCTATATATTAACGAATGTCTCACTCTATTGAAGGGGTGTGTGGCAATCGAAACAGGAAAAGGAAATAACGTACTTTCCGAGGAATTAATATATGAAACCTGCTATGTTATACAAAACATGTGTAATATCACGTGTGTATATTTACATTTGATATAACTTTTAAACCCCTCCAATTTATTATTGAATTTTTGTGAACGAAGTCATAGGTCAAATTAAGTTAAATCAGTTATATTCACCACTTAAATACTTTTACACGCGAGGTCGAAGGTGGGTGCGGCACATCGACCAATAAGAATAAAATCTAAAGAGGGCGGGGTATATAACTGATATATATACAGTAATCCAAGTTTATGAAACTGGTATTTTTTGTGAGCGACAGGGAGATTTGACCCGCCAAATTTTTTTGGAAGTCCGACTATGCAAATATATAGTAAACTTGATGTTTTCCGGAGAAACGTCCATGCCTACGTGACGAAACACGAACACGGAAATAAGGTTTTAAAATTCTATCAATGAGAATTTTGAAATACCAGTAGTTGATACTTAATTTGGAGCAAGATGATGTAATGGTTGAATTTCGAAGGCAAGTCCCAAGTTTTAAATGAGGGTAATCCACAATTGACCTATATTAAAGTATACCAACAATGACAATTCCTGGAAATGTGTCTTGTGGATAAGCTTTTGTTTACTATAGTTCCTACTTCCCAGAAAGATTACAAATCGCAATATTTGGAAGAAGAATTCATTATAATCCAACCAGATATGTTCTTCATGATACCAACTGGTAGATAAAAACTACCTTGGGGATCGAATGTTATATTGTTCCATTGTTTGGCCTGTTTCAGTGACCTCTTTAAGGAATTTGAAATAAAACGCCCCTATATTATATGAGTAGACGCCCATAGAATCCACAATGTTTAAAAATAAAAAGTGGTATGAAGTCGAACACATTCCCAACCCAAAACTGAACTATTCTCTATTGGGGTAATTCAAGATAAAAAGTGAATTACGGAATAGAGGCTTTATTAAAATTTGACATATACTTCAAATTTTGCCTTAGCATAAATACATCAATATATTCATGAAGTGAAGAAGTAATTACTTTGTAATGTTCCGAATATAAGAAAATAGTTACCATGACAAATGGATATACTGTGTAGTAAAAGGATACAATGAATTTATGAAAATTTACATGTCTGTTCCAGAGACTGTGGAACAGGGGACTTTTCGAGATGCACAAACAAACTATGAAATTTTGTTAAGAGTCTGCTATTAAATCAGTCATTGTTTGGTTGAGTCATAAAATAGTATTAGAGTATATTTACATAAACCTGTCATAGGAAATATCGACCATAAAAGTTTGTAGTAATTTCACACTGCGATAACAATGTGTACTATGTGTGAATGATATCATAAAATTATATTCTCGTAGTTAACAAAAATTATTATAAATTGGAGGAAGATTTAAAATAAAAATTCCAAAAAAGACTTACAACTCTTGCGTGATGCCACTGAGAGAATTGTAGTAAATAAACAAATCTTCTCGAAATGATATCAGTCAATAAACACGAAAGATACATACCTGCGAATACTCCGATTAATGCTCGTCCAATCACAATCATAGGAAAGCTGTTTGCAAGCTTCGAAAATCCAAGGAAAGCCGCAGCAACCAGTGAAATTATATTATTCACCATCAAGCCACCACGTCTATACAAATGCAAATAAGAACATTTTCAAACCAGTCTATCCATATACCACATATCATGGAATTCAAAATAATCAAATTTTTGTGTCTCAGAAATGCGTAAAATATCATAGTACAATATTAATGAAGGACTGTCATGGGATTTTTTATATTATTCCCAATAATCTAAAACACCAATTCTATAATATTACTGGTAGGTTATAAGTCTGCTTTTTCGTCACATAATTATATTGCTTGAATTCAGAACTTGTTATTTACATGGCTGACAGGTACTTATTAATGCTTATGTTTCGGAAACGAAACTCTTAGCTAACCACTAACTAGCCAATGGGAATTAATAAGGCCATGTTTGATTTAATCAAGATTCTTGAAAATTTTCATATTCTCATAGTATGATATCCGAAAATATATTTCAACGCTACACATAGTTGATCTAAACTGGTCATCGATGCAACACAGCTATAATATACACAAATTAATGTTTTACATAGGTAGTCATTTACCACTGAATTTGAGTAAATAGACTTCTAAATTTTATGCATGACAAAATATCACCATACCTCCCAAATTTCCTCACGACTGGACCCACAAGCAAAGATCCAATCATACCGGTGAAAGCGAATGCTGATACAGCAAGAGCATACATGTTGTCTCTATAGATCTCATGATCGTCATTTACCTGTCATTACAAAAATATACTAATAAAAATAAACAAAAAATGTAGGTAAGAAGTTGTGTTCAATCATATAAGCAAATGGAGTCTTTTATAAACTTAGCAATACATGGGGCACAGAAATCAAGACAACATCAGATAATTAAAAATATGACAAAGACGCCCACCGGACACACCTCACTGTTATGTCGTACCGCGATGCTACAAATAATTACCCAAGAAAAATCCCTGGTATTACTCTACAGAATACAGTTCCGAAAGCTGTTTTGAAACTACAAATCTTTTTAATATAAAAACATAAAATAATATCAATACAAGCCAAAAATAACTCAATAGCCTATATATTCAGGATATAAGTTCACCTATTGTTATAGGATATTGTTTCACTTCTGTAATGTAAAAATTCCAGGTAGTGCTATACATCGCTTGAGTAATTTACTCTAAGACTACTATACATTGAATTCTTAGAAGTAATGATATTTTTGATATGCCTTGAATAGGAGATATGTACAATACATGTGAGTATCACACACAATGAAGTTCTATGATTTGACCCATTCATACAGAGGTTGTTGCGCATACAATAAAGCATTGTTCAAAAAGACTTCCAACATATCACCGCAGCAAAAACAATTTAACTTGCGTCATATTTGACCCAGACCAGAAGATTGCTACTGCTCCATAGTGATGAAAGATCGAAAAAGTTCATTTCTTGTGGGACATAACCTACTTTGGTTTTACTGCGGGCCATATGGTTCAAAAATATAAATTACTTCAGCCCCATTAATTAGCAATTAACTGGTGATTAAATTGATTATAGTTGAATCTTCCGCCTTTTGTTTTTCTGTTTTGTGCTAATTATGATAATGATTAGATAAACAGTTATGCACTATTTATTTAGCAGCATATTGTACGATGAGTTTAAGTGATTACTCCATAGGAGGAATGTTAAAAGATTCAACATATATATATTCAAAATTAAGTATATTCAGAAAATAAACATTATTCAATATATTTATCGACTGAATTTAAATAAACTGACTTTAGTTAAGCGAAACTGGGGTACAGTAAAACTCTATGCAATATAAACCATCAATTGTAAAAATAAAATTGACTTGATGCGAATCAAATGTGTTGAATGTGTTTTTAATAACTTGCAGAACAAATTTGCAGATGCTTCAGCAATAAGTATTTGCAAACATTGCAGTTTATAACAAGTGACCTAATTTTAAATGCTTGTTTGAAGCAATAACTACTTGACATGTCTACATATCAGTAGAACAAACATTGCAAAGACCAACAAGTTTATTCTGCACATATTCAAACATGTACAAATGTACACAGTATTTTATGCTGAATAAATGATCTTATCTTTGAATGAATAACTACATAAATAATATTTATAGGCTCAGTTATAAGTAGTTTTTCATACAGCATAAATTTTCTTGTATAAAATAGTTTAAACATATAAATATACAAAATAAATTTCTATACTAATTTTTATAAATAATGGACAAATTATTTGAATGACTTTGTTCAATATTAAGTGCACCTCTTGATGAAAAGTTGATTAATTAAATTGTGTAAAAATGTGGTGATTTTATAATTAATACTTTTTGATAATAAACGTATAGACACAAATAAGAAAAAGTTTTCTAATTACCGGTTCCTTTTTGACCGAAACATCCGGTGACATTGTGGTTGAACCAATGGTTTCATTAAGTGAGCTGGTAGAAATGTTGCCAGATGATACAACGGTGTTGTTAATCACCTCCACTTCCAAAGGCCCAAAAAAGAAATCTTTAATTTCCTGTAAAGAAAATATATTTACTATAATTTGGTGATTCATTTATTTCTTGTTCCAAATATATAATGTGATGTATAAAATCAAACTCAAACGTGTATAACCAAAATATTGTAAAATGGCAATGATATTTATCAACATATTTTATTAAAGTACTCACATCAGCTGGTGCATTAACAACAGCAATATTATACCCATATTGAAATGATGAGCCAATAACGGCCATTGCAACCCCAACCATCAAGGAAAGTGTTGCTTTGGGCTTCTGAAAGAAAAAATGTATTTTATTAGAAAATTGTGTTTCAAGATTGTTGTTGTTGTTGGATTCAGAAATAGTAGCGCTTTTTGATATATATGTATATATGGCAGTAATTTAAAAAGTAGGTCATCACTTTAAGATCTTTAATAATCTTCATAATACAATACTACAGTACTAACCGGATTTCCATAGTCTCCACCATTCGCGACTAAGGCTTCTTCACCCATTATGGCTTTATCTATTTTGGTACAACAGTAAAGTTTATTCAAAGATGGAAATTCTTCTTCTTAGAGCGTAAATGTAAAGCAATCTCAGTCACAATGCTGATACAATAAAATCAAAGTTTTTATGCTTACTTCAGAAAATTCAAATGCAAGTTAGTAATCTGAAACAAAAAAGTTTTGCTGACATTCTTACATTGATTTGACTATAATCTAGCACCCTTGCGGATAAAGAAGGTTACTCCACGCATGAAACTTTTTTTTGATTGTTTACTGAATCATGCTGAAAGTTTCAGTGATTTTCATTATAAACTACCGGTACTCCCCGCCTTCCATACTCCGCATTTTCTAGTCTAATAGCGATTACGTATTTTATGTCCACCCATCAGTACATTAAAAGTCAACTACATGAGCCCCTCTAGTCTAATTAAACAATCATTCAATAAAACAGATGCAGGTTGGCTCCTGACACATGTCCCGCAGGTTTACCACGAGAATATAACGCAACGAGAAGCGACGCTTTATATTTGTGCGTTTTTTTTATTTCATTCGAGAGATCAAGATAAATTTTTTTTATTTCATTCATATATTCGAGAGATCAAGATGAGACTTTTTTAAATCAAAAACAACGCCTACTTCTCAACCAATGAAATGCTTGCATTAGCTGCTGGTCAACCGCTTAACCACTTCAAGGACATATATCACCATTGACTTAAAACTTGTAGGTATAGTATTTGTTTACGCTCGTATTCATGGTATAAAATAAAAGGTTAAAGTAGTGAAAATAAGAATATATTAAAACTAATATAACATATCCAGTGTGAAATGTGAATGAACAAATCCAGTGTGAATCGCACACACATCTACACATTTTAAAAGATCAATAACCTATGTTTAGCCGTAAATATATACCAGGTTTAGCAGTTAAATCGTAGTAGTATGTATTTACGGTTAAATAACAACGTGTTATTTATACTGTATATCGCTTTTCATATTTTGTATATTCAAAAATCTCGTAATTCTCTACTTTGTAATTGGTAAATGAAAATAAAATACATTCACCAAAAATTAGCCCTTTTTTCAAAAACAAAAAAAAATTCGAAATGAGACCCAGTACTGTACTTACTTTCCATGTAGGCTACGGCCCCTGCGAAGGATTTACCGGGCAAGTTTGCTTCCTTGAAAAGTTTTTGCGGCCGGTATATTCGAATTGTAAAAACAAAAATAAATTAAATTTAAAATCATAATAATATATTAATTTAGATTTATTTAGTTTTATTCGTTTAGATTTACTGAATTTGGAATTATTTCGTTAATGAATATTTTCTTACGGTATTTACTTACATTCGAAGAAATATACACTTAATTTCAAGAATTGATAACGCTAATCGGTGTCAACATATTATGTTTTACGAGATGAGCATTCTACTGGATAAGGTTTCAATATTGTCTCAAATGGCTCTTTCAATACCGGCGCTTGCAGCCCCAAACGGATAGGGTGATCATTCTATTGGAAATAAAGAACTAGAATTAGCAAAATATCATAGCAACATCAGGCGTGTACATTCTCGTTTGTGTTCTAGCCTAGTATTTAGTCCAGGCGAAACCCGTCAATTCAAATAGTCGTTATGCGAAGGGAATATATCAAAATATGGCGCCCTAAATAACGTCATTTCCGACAAGCTATTCATAATCACGCCCAGTTGATCGTCTTCAAATCACGACCTCACGCATATTCCAAGCTGCGATATCTGCGGGGCGGATGAAATGCTCCCGTGGGAGGGATTGGAATGCCCCCGTGGAGTTTTGTAACCTTAACAATCGGCGGCCGTACAAAGAAAGCGTTAACAAAACGCATGCTGTCGCACATCTCTTTACTCTGCGCGGGGAATCCGTGGGAAATAATAATTATATGCGAGGAGTGTTGGACTTCTCGTCGTCGTAAGGCGGTTCCCGTTACCTCAGATTGGTCCCTTTTCCACATCATCATATCCATGCATCTGCGTGAATAGCTTATTATTGTGGACCTATGGATCGTGTTGTTGTTAAATATTCGAATTTCCTACATGAACTGGTCACAGTGAACACATACCACTTCTTTTTGACAAAACCTTCCAACTTTTATTCTGTACGGCTACGCTATAAAACTTCCTAAGGTTTGTTTTCCTGATTCTATAATTAGTTTTTATCAATTATATTATCATCTGTTTTACTGATTATGTGGTGGAAATAAAATTATACTTATCTGGAAGACAGCCGTGTGCCGCTGTATTATATTTATCCGCCATCCCTTTCCTCCAGGATAAATATGAAATTCCCACGTTTATCGTAAAATACTGTTAACGCGCGAGTAAAATTAAAAATCTGGTTTTTAGTACTTGGGCAGGTTTCCAATACTTCACCTTGCCCCCGGGAATCAAAAAAAGTTGATAACTTTCCATACGGGACCGGTAATTTTCAGGAAAACGTTTGGCACCATTGCGGGATAAGCGTCTAAATTTGAGATCACTTTGACATCGAAACTGACAGGATTTCAGTCAGCAACTGGCTGGCAAAGCAGCCGGTCAAACTCACTACACACACGCCAACCACTCGATTCAAATGAACAAAACATAGTTTTCCGCTAGTAAGAAGGTAAATAATATAATATATTTCTGGTTTGCAGAAAATAGCAGTCAATATTACCCAATATAAACAGCAGTCATAATAAGGCATAGATAATAATGCAAGCATTACAAACATTTACAATATACAGCATTAACATTTTTTTAATGTATCCATACCATTGACAAGACTGTCAAATCAAATTGAGACAATTCTTAAAGTCAATGGCCTCAACCAGTCTGAGATGGGTACATATTTATTTTATTCAATATTTTTTAGGCTGTTTTCGTACAGTTACGATATTTCAGAATATTATCATAGATTATTTAGGCAACTCAGTTGCTTGAAAATTTCAGGCGTAAGATATTGATGTGAAATAATAACAAACGAAAAGGTTTAATCTGGAACGTTTAGAGGATTTAATTCAACACCGATACCCGTGTAAGAGTGGCAGATCGGGTTGTAACGAGCAATTGGAAAAAGAATATTACTTGATTTTGTTTCAGGGTCATACTTACTGGAAGGAAGGCTACATTTCAAAATAGTAAATGACAATGACTGTCTTCTTTAAAATTTAGGAATTTAACTTTTTTTACATTCTGAAATTAATTACCGGTAATAAAAAAAAAAATAGAAATCACTATTGAAAGTAGTATGTTCACTTGAAGGCCCGATCATAGATCTTCATTTGTAGATAACGAAAAAAGTTGGTAAAGTTGAATTGGTTGTTACAAGTTCATTCCAAACAAAAAATCTTTAGCCATGTCTGCGGACTAAAGTTTATCATCATATTAAGTTATACCCAAATTAAGAATGTATACTGGGCAAATTACATAGCAATAAGTTTACTTAATACTTCTACATATAATTGGAAAAAAATAAATGAAAAGAAGGGATCAAGATACAACCAGCACAATGGCGATAATAAGTAATATTAACGATGCAAAAAAGCAACTTGAAAATGAAACTAAGCTAAAATGTCATGATTATTATAATATAAGAGAAATAATAGAAGCAAAAGGGATGATCACAAAGCTGATTACAACTTGGTATACGAAAATTCATAATTCCTTACTAATGTGTGAATGCTGAACAAAAATGACCAATGTACAAATTTGCATTATTATATTTTTCAACTTTCTTCTGTCACACTCGAGGCTTTCCCAGAAGATGACTATCAGTGCATAGGTCAATGAAACATCAACACTGCCACACCATAAAATAATGAAATTTATATCGACGAAATGACCACAAAATTTTCAAAAAAACGTAATGAGAATGTTCTTCTCAAAAATGAAGACTGATATAATTATAGTGAATAGTACACAATGGCTAAGGGCAAAAATTAACATACGATATATATACAAAAACGATGTCTTCCATTTCAACATTCAAATTGCTCACCGAGTACATGCATTCCAATTCTGAATAAAAATATATGCTGCAAAATGGTGACAGTGGATGGATAGCAGCAATACAAATATAACCTAATATAAACTACGACAGCTGATAACTGAGTACCAACTATCAGATCTTCTCAATGAACAGATATGGATAAATATCTATACAGTCTTCAAACTTGGTCCAAACAAGTACACCGATACGGCGATAAGCTTCCATCGATAATGAGATACCTACCCAATTTATTACACCCAGATGTTAGCAGTGGTGTGTCTGAAGGGGGCCAAAGGGGCAGCACGTTACAGGGGTAAATTTGTTGCTTAGTTTGATGATTTATATAATAATATTACAAACATTTTACTCTTACTTGACCTTCAATTTATTTATTCTCATGTATCACATCAACTATAATTCGTTCATCCCCCAAATTAATTTTGAAGTTAGGTATGAGGGGCAGAATTATCAGAAACTCGCCCCGGGCATCAGAAAAGTTCGACACACCACTGGACGTTAGGCATTGGGTTTTACACCCAAGATGTCTAACCAGTCCTCCAAAAATCATCAGGTACAATGCCAACTAACATATGTGAATGTAGTATAAAAGCAGAATAACTCAGTATGTTAAGCAATAGCAGGCTATAGATTGTCAAAAATATGACACAAATAGGGCCAGTACATGCCATTTAAGATGCATATATGCCTATGAATAGATAATGTTGAATATGAATATGATGCACACAAACCCATGATTGTTTATGCATAAATGAATAAGATTTGATGACCAATAAATGTAAATATCATATTAATACTAAGTAAAATAAAAACTGAGAAATCCCCGATTATAAAAACACAAGAAGCGATCGATCGCCTCGAGTGAAATATAAAAAATACTTGGTTTATAAGGCCAAATAACAAATTGATTGCATATACATAAAATACAAGATGCGAAATAATGTTGCTCAGCGGATGCGTTGACAACTAAGCAAGGAATATGTATCATTGACCATGGCAGGTTATTATAGTCTATCATCAAAGTTTTTCAAATTTCAAATTTTTCTTTGGACCAAATGTTTTAAATCCATAAGTCAAATAAATAAACTATAAAATGTATTTGATAATAGTGTATCAATTCCTTTTATTTTCCCCTTATTTTTGAAGCCACTTTGAAAAGGCACTTAAAACCCAGTCACTAAGGCTTTCGAGTTTGCAAGTCATCGATGTCGTAATGACCCTGAAGTGACACAGGTTGCAGTTATGTACGGTATGTATCATTATTTGTCTCTGATAAGAGCAGTATTAATGTAACACAGAAATATATAACGAGTGGATCTTAAATATTGGATTTTTACCAAACTGAGAAGTCAAAATTGAAATATTTGTCAGTGGTCATAAAATTGAGCCCCATTCCCCAAATATTGAATATTCAAAGATGAGTAAATTTTGAAAGAAATCCAGAAATTCAAACATGAAAAAAAAAAAAAAATTTACCTTCCACCCAAAATATGGGTGCAATCCAGTCATTTGAGTGATATCATAAATGGCAAAAAAAAGTAATAACACAATGTAAAATAATAAAAGAACAGAAGGATCAGGCAGAAAGGCGATGCATTAAAAAGAATCACAATGCAACGAAAATATTCTTAATATTGATATCCATTTATGTTTTAAATAATAGAATAATGACTTCAAGTAAATAAAGAGAAAGAGACATGGTCAATACAACAGCAATGGGTTAGCCTATTACATTTGGAACAAATAAAGCAAATGGCATTATACCTGAGAAAGCAAATATCAATTATGAAACCCTGAATCCTTGGCTATGAAACTGCAGTTATATTGTTGGTATCAATATCCAAATAATCAAGATATAACTTTAATAGAAAACTTATTTTGCTTAATAATCTTATAATTCAAGGAAGAAAAATTGGTATTTAAAATTTGACATCAAAAGGCTAACAAAACATAATTCCAAGAATTTATATTTATGTTCTAGTACACTGTTCATCTGAGACAACAATGCTGAACTCTCATTTCAATGTTCAGAAATATATCTTTGTTTCAGAGAGAAATTAACCCTTATTGGAAAAATTAACCCTCATCTCTCTTGTGGTTGTGTCCTGGTACTCTCATATTAAAATACTCTGGGTCAGACTGGAATTTGTGATGAAGCCATCTAAACGTTGGTCGATCTTCTTTATCATATTGCCAGCATTTCAACATTATTTGATAAACTTTCTCAGGACATCCATCAGGCTTAGAAAGACGCTGCTTGCAATCTTCTATGTATTGAATAACCTGTAGGAATGAGAAAAAATTGTTGGCGCATGCAAATTTCAGGCCAAAATTAAGTGCTGCATTGAGTGTGGGTTAAAAAAAGAATTTTACTTCAGTCTAGTCAAATTAAACTAGGTACAAGTACTGTGAAGTATGATCCAAATTTAGTTCAGATTAATTAGGCTGTCAGAAACTTCATGAAAAAGGTTATTTAGCCAATTTTTTGTGGTCGAGACTTATTGGGTCACATGTCAGGCTAACAATTCTAACTCCGCCTACCACTTTGAATCGTCTAAATTATAGTCCATATAATTGCCAGGCACCAAAAAACACATTAATAAGTAACAACGAGAATGCCGGTCGGAGACCGAAGACTTATCGATCGAAACTGCGGTTCCGATTCATGACTCTATAGTGAAACCGCGTGTCCCATCACTAATTAATTAATAACTCGCTAAGTATACAACATAATCCATCCAAAATCGATAGGCTTCTGGTCCGAGATATGATGAATGCACATGCAATTTGGAGCAGATTCAACCTCGCCTTCGTGAGATACCGCGTTCATCTAACAGACAAACAAACATACACACAGACAGACAGACATAAGATCGATAAGTAACAACAAACCTGTGCCCCAGTCATATTGCCATAGGGTTGATCTCCTTTGGAAAACATTTCCCAGATGGTAACTGCGTAACTCCAAACATCAGATGCTGATGAAAAAGTACCGTAATTAATAGATTCTGGTGCATACCTGAAAAATGAGGCGTAACATAAACCAACAATATTCTTATCTTAACCAATCGGTACAATGGTAGATCAGATTTAGTACAAGATACAAAACATTTAAAGTTAATTGCTTCTAAGTCGTATATTTAGACATTAGCAGTAATCATGATAATGATTTGCCAGGCACAAACTCAAATATAATGAATAACACTGCTGGATGTTGACATGATAATAATAAAAAAAATTACATATTCCAGAGAGGAGGATAGTTTAAATGAGTGCTGAATCATATGGTGAATCACAAACTCCTGTTACCAACCCAAGCTGGGTACGAGGCGAGCAATATATCGGCGTACCTATATAGAGGTTAAAAAATTTTGTTCGCCTATTTTACAGGGACCTAAACCAAGGGGAAGGGGGTATATTCACTTGGCCAACACAGACAGTCCCCAAACTCGTAATAGATTTAAAATAAGGAAAATCGGAATAAAATTATGGCCTAACCCTAACCTGGTACACATACTACAGGAGTACCAATATATTAATCCATGATATATATTCTGGTGAGTATGACATATATATTCTCATCTAGAGGCTTCTCACTGATTTAAAAGTATCTTATTAGCCATGATCCTTCTCCAAACAATTATTGGGAATTGTTTAGGTGGAACAATTTCACGCATAACACCGATTTATAAATTTGCATAAATTATCAAGATAAAAGATAATAAAGATGAGATGAGATAAAAACTTACCATTTAACAGGCCATCTACCACCTGCAGATGCTTTATAATAATTGTTTCCTGCACCAACTGCTCTACTCAGACCAAAATCAGATATTTTGATAAGTTGAATTGAAGAGAGTAGAATATTTCTTAAAGCAAGATCACGATGCACAAATCTGTAAAACATGAAATTCAATATAATCAAAATTTACTCGGTATCAAGCATTTTTTTAAAATTATCAAAAAAAAAATTCTGCAAATGACAATAATATTGAAAAATGGGCGCAGAAGTGTGTTTACCAATATGGAGGTAACTAATTTTGTATTTTACATCAAGTTGTGTAAAAGGACTGAAACCTATGGGCAGGGGGTATATTCACTTGGCTAACATAGACAGTCCCCTAACTCGTAACAAAACTAAAATAGGAAAAATCTGATTAAAACTTTGGCCTAACTCTAACCTGGTACACACACTACGAGAGTACAGAAAAAGGGCCAAGTAAAAATTCAGCAACCTGGTAGATGGGATAGGCTAGTTCTCTAAAACATATTAGCCACTTCATGAGCGTGGTTGCTTGCCTAGGATCTTGTAAGAGAATCAAAACAGCATATTCATAAGTCATAATCTTGTTACTATGTGTAAGAGTCAAAATAGGTATACAGATAACTAATCAGTTCAATTTTTCTGTTATTTTAAAATATCAGCCATAATCTGCTACCTATCACATGACCCAGCCAGCAACAAGGTAGGTGGTTACAGCAATTGCATTGCTGGTGATCTCTATTAACAAAATGACTAGCATGTTCTCATTATTGCTTAATCATGGGTGGGTGATCGAATCAGCAATTCTGGTCAAACATACTCACCCTTTCTCTTCAAGGTAATTCATTCCACTTGCAATTTGTGCCGCCCACAATTTGAATTCACCAAGTCCAACAGCAACAGGGTAATCGAGAATAAAGTCAAGAGCAGAACCCATTGTTACTAATTCTTGAACCTATAACCAGTAGAAAATAAAAGAATATAAAAATGTTGAACTTCGAATAGTTAGAGGATAAACTACCATATATCTTCGCATATAAACAGAGTTTACAACTGAAAATTCAGCTTATACGAGCATAACTGTGATCACACTAAACGACTAAAGGGACAGGAGTTTGACATTGATAGCGAGAATGAATTTGAAGGATTTTGAGACACTTCTTACCGTTATTAATAAAAGTAAAACATAACAATCATTTTCATTAATTCTCATTTGCTGTGATAGGAGAGTACAGCTTGTTACGATTTGTAGGGCCAGCTTATATATTTTTATTAACTCACTGTTGAGAGCCGTTTTTATGTGGTGGCTTATATGTGAGATGGGCCAATATGTGAGAATATAAAATAACTAGAATACAGATATACCTAATTAAAAAGCATCAATAATTTTATATCTTACCTAGTACCTACTACCTACATTTTATCCGCAAATGAAACAAAACAAATCAAGAATTTTCCAATAAATAGCTTGAACTATTGAAACAAAGCATTTCATACATTTGAATTTGAGGTTTACATACCATCATGAGTGATTCCCCTCTACATATTCCATATAATTTGACAATGCAAGGATGATCGAGTCCCATCATAATAGAAGCTTCTCTCTTGAATTCTTCCTCTCCTGTATTGATATGTTCCCCATGCAATGTTTTCAGCGCAACTGGTATCTGTAAGAACAAATACATTGATTGATCACCTTCAAATTTAATTCACTTGACCTGTATTTCATACAGCAGTTTTTTCCAACGTTTTTTACTACATTTCCTTTGCCTATATTGGAACACTTTGCACTTCCCTTTGCAAAAAAATAGTCTATTTGTTAAATATTTATTGCATCCTTTACTAGTGTTATGCGCAAGTTCAATCCCATTTTTGTACAGTTTAAAGTTGGTTTAGTATTTAAATGACACTATTATTAAAAACATTTGAGTTAAAAACATTTGTGTAGAGATTTCGGTAAAATAGGAGATTCCATTGTCGGTGAGTACAGCATCATCGCTGTGTCACAAAGTTCTGATGTTATTTTGTATGACCGATTATTTCCTGAGTAGGAATAAGATCAAACTAAAATGTAGACATAGAGCAATAAAATGAATTAAAAATAGGGAATGATAATCATACAATTTATGGTTAGAAATAAGTTCAACCTCAATTGAGTACCAAATACGATTGAATATAAAAATAGATTCGACCCCAAATACATACAGACTCGATTTTTTTCATTGAATATACGTTTTTGGATTGATTACCTAATGGACCCATAGTTCCATGCAACTTCTCAAATACCGGTACAAAAACTAAGCCATCTGCAAGATAATGGAGAAACATTTTGTTTCATTTAAAAAGGTTCAGAAACCAGGACTAAATTCCAATTTCCAAGGATGAAAAATAAGCCATTAGGAAAAATTCATTCTGTGGTATTGTAATCAATTTACACCAAATAAGACTTAAAAGGCAGCACTTACATTTCTTCCACTCGGATCAGTCCATTCTCCCATCAAAACAGAACCAAATTCTCCCATTCCAAGTTCTCTTCCCAATTTCAACATCTCACGTTTAATAACTTTGCCCTTTTCCCTATTTGAGTTTGTACCAGGAAATGGAACCTTGGAAGTACAAAGAGAAAATTTTTTTTCCTTTTAAAATCATATTTATTTATTCATCTCGTTGTCTCACAATATACATATTTAATATCATGTGGTTAACTCTTTCCGTTATCATAGTGGCAGATGCCTTAGATCAGGGCTTCCCAACATGGTCCAGGTGACAGCACGATTTCCCGGGGTCACAGACAAAGTGCGAATTATATTAAATTTACCAATAAATTTTGTTATAGAATCAAAACCTTAATTCATTTTAAAAAATATTTTGTTATGGGTACCGGTAATAGGAAACCAGAGGACAACCCAGTCTATGAGAATTGTTTTAAGGTTCTGAATTGAAAAGGGAGATAATAAAATAATTGAATAAACCTACCATAACTACACTAATTAAAGTGCTTTGATCATAGATTATTTCAAATTGGAATCAAAATGAATATGCAAACTTAGTACCAGAATCAAACGAAATGAAACGCTCAAACTCAACAAGCAAGGTAATAATACCGAGTACACTAAAATTAAAGAGTTCTATCAAGTGATTTGACTTGGATATCTCCAAATCCAATAAACACTTGGGGTTCCATACGACCACAACGAAATAAGGTTGGGAAGCCCCGCCCAAGATAATCGTGAGATGGCAATAAGCCTAATTCTGAAATTTAGTCTAGATCAAAATTAGTTTGCATCATTTTCTATTTGTTTATGAGGTTCGAGTGGTGATTAGCATGTTTAAAAACTGAAAGTTTCTTCCAAAATATCATCGGAAATAATCTTAATCAGGCCTTCAAACGGGGACATTTAATAATTACAATACAATTTGTATTTGCAGTCAATTTTAATGTGAGTTAAGGTAGGTCCATACAATTTTATCATTAACAGGATTACAGGGCACAAAAAACAAAATCAATGTTAAATTTTTTTTATTTAAAGTGAGACTGAATTTGAAGAAAACAACTCAGGCTTATTTTACAACAAAATAATAATTAATGGCTATTTAAGTTTTGTTTGTTCAAACGTGATAAACTTTTTAAATCACTTTGAATCATGTTTCTGCTGATGACTTGAGCATATTGCTATACTGAGTTACCATAATCACCATATTCTGAGTTACCACTGTCAACAACATCAGTGCACTTACCTGGTGATTATTACCATGTGCTGGAATGGGTGGTGTTTGTGGTATTGGCGCTGGGATAGGTGGTCTCCTATCAATTTGCGGTCTCGGTTTGTTCTGATTGGCCGATATACCGCCAGGCCTGATTGGATTTCTGAGTTCATCGGGAAGACCATCGGAACATCGACAATAATAATCAATAAGATATTCGATCGATGAAAACAAAGGTCCGTCGTCAATGTAATACCACTTTGAACCTCCATTACTCTGTAATATGAAAATAAAGTGTATTGTAATTGGTAAGTATAACATTGATAAAAACAATTAGGAATTGAATTTTTAAATATAAATAACAAAGTCATGTTGAAATAGTTCAAAATTTCAATTACAAATATATTAAATGTCCAGGATTTTTTTCTATATGACAATTATTCACATCTTTCGCTCCGAACATGCCCAGATATTTAACAATCTGTAAAGAGCTGTTATTTTTGGAAGGTCTGGTATCTACACCATCGTGTAAAGACAGTTCAACAGAGAAAGTGTCAAAAAGACAATATCTTGAAGATGTGGACAATTTTTGCTTATAATATAGCTTCCAGCAGTTTGCGTCCTTTAATGATATTTTGAAAATTTCAAATTGTAAATGAGTTAAAAAATTCTAAATATTCCAAGTAAAAAGTTTTTCATACCATACTGTATCTGCATGTTTTGATTACCGGTACCTGCTTCTGATTAATACGAATTGCAAAACAAAAAAGTTGAGACTCGTTCAGGTTTTCAAGCCATGAGATAAAACAACCTAACTCACTCTAAACCTCATATCCTCTTACCATGGCTTTAATTTCATAGTTGAAAACTGAGCGATTGAATGACATAGTTAAAACATATTGTCCCTGAACTCTTTTTGACAGTCGTACAAGGAAAGAACCATCAGATAATCCACTTCTCTGCAGTTCCTCTACTGCTTTCTGAATGTCAAGCAAAACTTCATTACATTCATACAATAGACAGAAAGTATAGATATGTGCAACACTTGGTGAATCATCGACATTTAACAGCAGTAGAAATATAATAGCAACAATTGTACAGCAAAATTAGCAGGAAGGCAATTCTGCATTATTCTTATGCTGCTCAAAACGATTTTAATAATTTAACAAAACACTTTGATAGTATTTAAGCATCAACACATAAAATTCTTTGATACTCAACGAACACTTTAAAACTCATGATCCCAGGAAATCATAATAAAAATTCAGCATTAATATAAATTTCAATACAGAAAATGGATCATAGTATTTCATAAACGACTATTTAATAATTGTCATATTGAATCCGATACTTGACTTTTTTAAGCTTTACAGAAATTTGATAAACAATTACCAAACAGTCTTGAAAATTCCGCATATTAAACTCAAATTAACTCGCATAATAATTTTTATATATATTTTTCTTACTTTATAATTTTTTTGTTTTTTTGTTTGAATCAAAAAAATACATACATTTCTGTCCATACCATCAGAGTGCAAGTAAAGATGGGATCCAAATCTTGGTGACGGAGGTCGATGATTTTCCAATAAAGCTACACAATCCATCTTCTGTCGTTTCCTGGCAAGATCTAGTGGTGTTTCTTTGTTAACACATCTGAAAAAGGAGATGAAAAATAATAAAAAAGCACTAAAACTATGGTAATAATATTAATGGATTGCCCTGTACAAGGAGCAACTTATATCTAACCATATGTAATGAGCTACTACTTTTGGGAAGAAAGGAACCGTCCTGGGTGAGGTGTGGGCTAAATAACCACTAGGCCAGCGGTTCTCAAATGGTGCACTAGTACGTAACTTACGTAATGATAGAGGTAGACACTACTCACTGCAATTTTGCAAGCTGCAGTTCATTTATCTGCTGAACCTAGTTTAGCGAACATTTTAGCGAGTGATTTTTTCAACATTTCAAAGGAAAATCAGGCAGAGATGAGGAAAAATAATTGACCTTTTGCCTTTTTTTCTTGGGCCTACATACAACTTTACAAACTTTAGGAGGCATAAAATACACATTAACGATCACAGAATCGAGATTTATTTAGAAGGAGCATTTTTTTCGTGTAAGTGCAGGTTTTTTCCTTAATAAGCACTAGGCCACTGCTCCCATATGAAACAAGAGATTTTCTAAGCAAGAATATTACTGATAATGAGAATTGTGACTCGACAAAAAAAGAATTGGCAATTGCAAAATTCTTGAATATTAATTGTTTAAGAAATCAAAAGATAGTATCAGGTATGAAGTACTTCTGTCGTTAATATTTTACAGAGCACTAGGTACAAATTGGAATAGGATTTTGAAACTGTAAACGCACATAAGAGTTTTATATAGAAACACAATTCATAGTACCGGTAATCAAAGAAGGCAAACATAACATAATTGCAACCACTTGACCTGTATGACGAGGAAAGATTTTATTCATTTTCTACTTAACAAAGTCGTAAGTCATTTGATTTTCAAAATAGTAATAAATTCTACTAGATACAGTTGGTATCTAGTTACTTATTATCAGGTGTAAAATGAACATATTAGCAATACACAAAATGCATCAGAATTTTGCAATCTAATAATGATTATAATGAATGGGTTTATGATACCAAGAACTGTGAAAACGAGCCAGATCTGATTGTAATACCACATCATGATATCAGGACAACAAGACTGGTAACCAGAAATGATGGATTTAGTATCATACATAGAAATTAATTCAATTAGACATAAAAATGATGAACAATGCATGTGTACAAGGTTTCACTCATTATTGGAATCAAACTCTTATCAATTATTTAAAATATGTTCAATCATTAACAGTTACAAATAAAAAAGGTAATTATCAAATTACAAAACTTAAGTACATAAAAGCTTACTGTTATTGGACACAAAGTGGATCTGAGAGATCTGATTGTTTCGATAAAAAGTGATTTTGGTTTTTGTAAAAAAAAAAAAAAAATTTCACCACAACCACTACACTAGTCGATTTCAAATCTTCAGTACATATTAACGCTGGAAGAAGTCGTAGAAGGCTATTCTTTTTAATTTTGTTTCAAATTATTTCAGAGTTCTATAGGGCGCAATTTTTCAATCCAAATGCAGTGCTATCTCGATTGTTCACAAAACCTTTCCAGCAGAATTGCTGCTCATGCAACCTTTGAGTCCATGCAACCATATATTTGAGCATTTCTCTCTTGCTTTGAATTGAACATAGTCAGGATTCAAGAGATATGGAGGAAAATTCCAAATTATTTTTCACCACCATACAAGGCAGTAACACAAAAAACGGCGCTCCCGTTCCCGTAGTATGTGCAACAAGATGGCGGACACCAGAACGTAGTATGTGTACCAGGTTAGGGTTAGGCCATGATTTCGAATACAAATACTAAGGGAGTCACTCGGCTAGTCCCCGAACTCGTAATAGAACAAAAATAAGGAAAATTGGATTAAAATCATGGCCTAACCCTAACCTTGCACACATACTAGGTTCAGGTGTCCGCTATCTTTTTGCACCTACTATGGGAGTATCCAAAAAACTGCAATATGTGAACATTATTAAGATAATTCAAATTCCCCTCACCTAGGATGACATGCAGCTCCTTGTTGCAGTAACATTTCACAACATTTAACATGGCCATGATAAGCAGCTTCATGAAGTGGGACTCTTCCTGAACCACAGCATCTGTCCTGGGGTTTGGCATGGCAATGTTTTGTAAGGATTTTACAAGTTTCTGGTTTATTGGCGCTGCAAGCAAGCTGTAAATATAAAATATAACAGGTCTTCAACAGCCGATATCATATGTAATTCCTAAGCTTCTCCAACATTTTCATTTACTTATATTCTATCCCAGTGGTCGGCAACCTTTTCCAAGTGACGGACCGGTAAAGCCTGACCAAAATTTTGGCGGACAACCTTTACACAAACGGACTAAGCCTATGCAATAAATTAAACACATTAGGAAATTTATATTGACAATATACTAAAAAACAAAAGTGATGATATTTAGTGCAATATCTGTATTTGTTTGCTGGCCATTAACTGTTCCCATAATGGAGATTTGGTCGACATTGACACACGCAACCAACGTGTTTCTTACATCCGGACTGCTTCGATATTTCGTTTTTGTAGTTAACAATATTGAAAATCAGGCCTCAAATTAATAAGATTTCGGGAAAGGAAACAATGCCTGTAAACCTTCCGACTCTGGTCTGGGTATTGATTGATGTTTGTTTTGCCAAAACTATTTTATTTACTCGATGTGCTAACTTTATGAATATCCGGATTCTGAAGTATAGAATTAGCATTGACTAGGCATGACCGGTTAGCTACGAGCCAGTAGTGGAGTAGTTGCATTCTCAGCCAGAATCATTTTGTTGGAGAGATCTTATACGGAATGATGAGAGACATTTTTATACAGGCGTAGTTTATTTGACCTAGCATTATTGCGACATACTGACATGGCAATTGTTTGTGAAGTCAGACATGCTGCTCAAATACATTGTGTTTGCCTGGTTTGCTGTTGGGTGCTGTTTTTTAGTCGTTGGGTTTGTGGTTAGAGGTTTTATTACGGCCTTGTCCGCTTTTTTGTCACCTCTCTTACCCAGGACCGGTGATGGCCGTGATATATTCGATAACGCAATACATTAGAATATTTTCATTTTAAAATTTATTCTGGGCACATACTATCTACATGGAACAAAAATTATGTTTATCTCAACTTTTTTGCTTCACCAAATCCATTCTATAAATTTACATCGATTCGTGCAAATCTATCTGTTGGATATTAAACTCAGTTTTTAACTAGCCAAAATCCAAAACATATTTGATGTTGCATATTTGTAATTACCGTAAGTCCGTAATATTCAAAAATGTATTCAGTGTAATAATTTTACTAATATAATACATTTTAGGCCTCTCATTTCGGACAAGGATCGGTATAAGTAGCCTCTGTTATGCAAGAAGTTACTATACTTTAGAACAGGGGTTCCCAAGCTTTTTTCAGGACGACCCCAAAGACAACTTTCAAGTGTCCAGTGCGACCCCAGGTCAATATATATATATTTCATGAAACTTTAGAGTGATGTCACAATGAACACCTACATTTTCTATAGTCTAAGCATAGAGCGATGCCTATGGTCTTGTTATACAGTAAGCCATGGTACAAACTGCTAAATTTAACATGGTTTTTCAAATCTTAGATGTTTTGTAAATCCATCCTCTACCATACTTCAGCGACCCCATCTACCCCATGACCTGTTTGCAACCCTACCTATTTATCACCCTACCTAATTTGGGGTCGCGACCCCTGGTTTTGGAACCCCTGCTTTAGGAGGACCAGGACATCAACCCGGTTCAACTTTTCCTACCCAATTTATTACACTCTGAAAGAGTTGATAGGCATATGTGATTAAGATTTTAATCTGTGATGCCAGAGTAGCTTGGTCTAAATGCTGTAACCACCACGCACCATATACACAAAATTACTAAGTTTTGGCTATTCTTGACATGACAGCAATTAAAAGACTATTTCTTTGATCTAATAGTATCCATTGAAGACTCAACTTAATTAATTAATGATATGTTATGGGTTCCCTGAAATTCGATATCCCTTCTCCCATAAAGGTACAAAAAGGAAGAATATTACACACATAATACTAACTTAGATACTAACACTAACAAGAAGAGATTTTTGACTTACACATTGTAATTTAAGAAAGCAATTTGAATAAACTCAAAATTTAGTAAACATTGAAAACAATGATGTGAAATTCCATTATTCCGCGCAATGAATGAAAATTACTTATTTTGCACTAAAATCATGACTTGTATTAAACTTTAGAAGACGAATCATACTAAAAAAGATCTTTGTTGCTACAGAGTGTAGTGACAAAGAGCTTCTCATAATAAATTGAAATAGATAATTATGGGAAGCATAAAAATGGTACAAGATGAATAGAACGTAAGTAGAACCGGAACGTAGTATGTGTACCAGGTTAGGTTTAGGCCATAATTTTATTCCTTCCTTATTTTAGTTCTATTACGAGTTCAGGGACTCCCGTAATATTTTTACCTGAAAGGTGGTCCTAAGCCTGACCTGGTACACATACTACGTTCCGGTGTCCGCCATCTTGGTTCACATACTACGGGAGTCTGGGTACCGAATGTTCAAAAATGGAATACAAACATAAAAACCCTCAGGAGATGAGAGTCATCTCAGTTACATTTATAATTTCTTATATTCTGACGAAACATTATCCAGCCATGCAGATACTTATTTTATGAACAAAATAACATAGCACAGCAGAATTGTTCTTGAACATATTCAAACAAGCATGGAATACCATAAACCTTGAGAGTCATGCCCGTTAAATCCATAATTCTAATTCCAACTACAGGAATTCATGAAAACGAGAATGTTTATCAAACTCACATGCAGTGCAGATCCACCATCAGAATCTCTGGTTTTCATGTCAGCTCCGTGTTTATAAAGTTCTAATATAAGATCATTCAGTCCTCTGGCAGCTGCTTCGTGTAATGCAGTACGACCACTTTTGTTTCTGCAGAATGAAATAATGCTTTGAAATTCCACAGTAAAATATTTCCACAATAATTATTCAATTACTACCACACATTTGAAATGAAAAGCAAATTTGAGTATTTCCGTATTAGGCTGAATTTTACACAAAACCTATTTGGTAACTATTATTGGAAAAACTGTAATTTACTTATTAAAAAGGAAGCAAGCAGTTTTTAATAATGACGGATATATGTCTTTTACTCCAAACAAGGCTCATTCAGGTACGGCACATTCGGGATGAGGTCCTGAAAATGGGCTACACAAGCCTGATATTTTTAGTATAAGTCCAATGCTTTATCCATAAACCAGTGGTTCACAAACTTTTTAAGCTGTGCCCCATTTTTGAAACCTCCAAAATAACTAGCTAACAATAAGCTGCAATGTACAGATAGTAAGGCGAAAGTATGTTTCAATCTAAAGACACATTGAAAATATGTGGATGGAACGTAAATCATGAAATAAATGAAAATATGTGAATGAAACGTAAATAAACAAATGAATGAAAACACAAATAAGGCAGGCAAGGAAAGGAAAAACGATTGGGCGGATTACTCATATGGCAAATAACGACCTCTCGTCCGGTTACCATTCCATGTCGGGTATGGGATTAGTTGGCCAGTCATTTGTTTCGGATGCATGAAGAAATTCATAACCAACCAGCGATTAAGTGAACCGCCCCATGGGGGCGAGAAGTCCACAAACTTATTTACAATACATCAGTATTACAAACTAAATTTTTAAATGCACATATATAACCTTTAAAAACATACCTTATATCTTTATGTGGACACAGTCTACTTTCAAGAAATTTACGGAAGGTAGCTGCATCAACTGCTTCATCTACTAATTGGTGAAGAATTGTATTGTCGCCACATTTCCTCAGATGAGGTGGTAGCGATGATCCAGAACAATGTGTACCAAGAGATGTTGGCAACCCGTTTGATCCATTCCTGTTAAAGGGAATTGTGTTTACAAACGAGGGAACATTATTAAAGTTTGTGATGAATAAGTAACAAACTGGTGTTTTGAAACACTAGAGTAATGCTCAACTATGTGGACATAAATGTTAAATGATTAATGCAATATTAGCAAAAATTACAACTACATGATAAAATAATGTAACAAATGCTATGATAAGTTGTAAAAAACAGCAAAATTTTAGCTGAAATATCAGGCCCTGTAGGATTAGAAATTTGGAATCCAAGGGCTCATATTTTGGGGGAAAAGCATATTTTACAGCCACAGCAACAATAACAACATATGAAAACGATCCTAACTCCACATTCAGTTATACTATTTATCGGCATGTTATGATTTTCATCAGTAATACATGAGAAGTTTGCTTCAAAATAAACATATTTAGAATATATCCAAACAAATTTCCCAGATAATTATTTCAGTATAGATAGAAACAGCAGACCAAATCAAGGGCCTTGATAATATAGAGAAGAAAACACAAATTAATCTAAAAAGTGGAACATGTACTGGTAGTCATATCATTTATTATTGGGATGTTAGGATCCTAATCAGTTTATGATTATTCCCAGAATTGAGTTTTCGAGCATTCAGGGAGTGCCTGAAAAATTTACTAGTGGAGTATACCCTCACAAGTCGCCAGAAACAAATACAAATTCTGCAAACTTTTGAACGAAAAAAGTTGCAAATTGCTATTGCATTTGAATCAACTCATTGTGTAAAAATTTAATCTAAACCTCGGCAGTTAAAGTCATTTGTAGCATAACTGAAATTGCTATAAAACATAATTTGCTTTACTATTTTTGGCACAATAAAACGATATCAATATTTATTCACCTGATGACGGCACTGAGCAGACTGATCAAACAATGTCATGCTTGTTCTTGATGATTATTTATGAGTGGAAACTACTTGCTATTTGTATAACAAGGATTACATTGAGAAGGTTATCACAGAAATTAACCTTTTTTGCAAGAGTATTTTACATTAAAACAAATCAGTTGAAAATGTGATATAAATTTTAAATTATAAGCGAAATCGAAATTGAACATCCGGCGCTCCAGAAGTATGTGTACCAAGATGAAAGTAACTAATTTAGTTCGCCTACTTTACATCAAGTTGTGTAAAGGGACTGCCTACAATGGGCAGGCAGGTATTCACTTAGCTGACACAGAGAGTCCCCGAACTCGCAATCGAACTAAAATAAGGAAAATCGGAAGAAAATTATGGCCTAACCTAACCTGTCACTGTGATACACATACTACGTCTACGGGAGTACCGAACATCCAGCATAATTGTGATTTTAGCTGCTGAATTTTTCTCTTTAGTTTCAAAATTTCTTGTAAACATCCCCCCCCGAATATTCAAGGCCAAAGGCAATTTTACATGAAACTTCCTCAGAATGTGCAAACCCAAAGCAACCACAATGTACATTTACAGCACCACAAATTAAAGTTTGCTCTATATGAGTGAGTTCCTTTTTAGCAGATGATACTAATGGTATCCATTTGTTTTGCAGCACTCAAAATGTTTATGGTTGCATTACTAAAGTGTTTTGATTATTGTATGCAGTGTTCACTATTAGCGCACTTTTTTGCGAAAATTGCGAAGCACTTTCGCAACTTTTTTTAGGGACTGCGAAATAGCACTTTTTTCCGATTTTGAAGAGAAATAGCACTTTTTTCCGATTTTGAATGGAATAAAAATTCAAAGTTAACAAATATTTTCGAGTATTAAGTTGACAAATAAGTAACATACTAGTACATTTGTAACTCAATTCTGCATATCATAACGATATTTACTGGAATTCTCACCTATGAGATGCAGACATAGGAGATAAAGCTTTTACATTAACGGCAAAATTCTTGTTTATAATATGATTATTATACAAGCACACATTCCGCTTCTCCCGCAAAAAAACGCTCCCGCGTCTTTGAAACCAGATGTTGGAATACTACTCAGTGCATTTCTTTGAACGAGAGTGGTCATGTGACTATCAATGATATTGATGAATTCAAAATGACTATAAAAGTGTTAGTAACGTGTTATAGTCACTTTGGATGAATTGTGACCAAACTGCACGATTTTCAAATCAGACGAAACTTTTAGCAGCATGTCACAGATTTGCAAAATCACCAAATTCACAAAATCCATAAGTGCCATTTTATTGTAATCACAATGTTGAAAGCACGTGGCATTTTCCGGAATTTTGCGATATTTACACAACTATTTCTCATTGATATGCGAGGACGGGTGGGCAAAATTCAATATTTTTTTGAATCCGATATTTTTAACGAGTACCGAATAAACGTGGCGGAAACATTAAAAAATCGGCAACAAAGCCTTTTTACTGGTTAATTCCGTTGTAATCGCTAATTGTTCTTGTCACCGATCGTTTTGGCGGCGATATCCAGGTATTGGTAATCTATATTCCCGCCCTCTCTTTATTACAAATATTCTTGCGAATCGGCGGACATCGAAGTTTTATATTTCGGGTTTACTCGTTCGTTCACATCGGCAACAGCTGTTGAAGACATTGAGGACCCAAATTGCGTTGGCTTTAATATTACCTATCAAATTTGTAAATTTACCGTCCCAATTTTATGCGAATGGTAATATTATTGTCGATACCGTGATGCAGATATTTATTAGGACGATAATTAACTTTCTCATGTATTTCTATGGTGATAAACTTCGCAAATCTGAAATTGCGCCAATCCTGAATGTTGATTTAAAATAGTGATTGAATAATTCGGCAATAAAGGCATTTCTGCGTGGTCATAAGACGAGATGACGTTAATGAACAGCACTTCTTTTACAGGATATTTTACGTATGCGACTAAATTCTGAAAAGATTGGCCTCGAGTGCTTTTTTTTTCGAGTGCTCGAGTGCCTAATAGAGGTCAGGCGCTAATCGTAACTAATTCCCTCAAGTTTCAACGTGTTTTCAACAAAACAATACCCCGGCGATAATTATAGCTAAAATGTTACCGAGCAATTCACAATTTTATTTATGGAATTTGCAAATTCACCAGTTTCTTGACGATTTTGATAATGTCACGCCCTAATTATTAGTGCAAAGAATACTCCCCTTCTTCCGCGGCGGTTTGACGGGTTCTTTGTTCCATTCTTCAGAAAGTTCTGACACGGGGGATATAGAATACTGAATCCGGAGGGTTGAATCCCTGTCAACTTACTGGTGATTTTCCGTTTTGGAATGCGTGAAACATTCTCTATTTTAAATTAAATGACGTTTCGCGGGCTAGAGTTCTCCCCGAAAATGATGTGTTCCAGACGTTAGTTAGACGATAGATAACACATTAGATTAATAATTTTCATTACGCCCAGTTATCGAAAATACAAAGTTATATCGCAAAAAATGCGTTTTGAAACATTTGGAATGAAACATTATTTACGGTTAATTCAGATCATATTTTACTCCTAATGACACCCGGTATTCGAAAATACAGTTGTATCTCGAAAAATGTGTTTTGTTACATTTAGAATAAAACATTTTTGCGATTAATTTAGATCATATTTTACTTTCCACGACACCCGTTTCCGAAAATACAAGGTTATATCGCGAAAATGTGTTTTGTTACATTTAAAATAGAACATTTTTGCGATTAATTTAGATCAAATTTTACCTTTCACGGCAACCCCTTTCCGAAAACACAAGGTTATATCGCAAAATGTGTTTTGTTACATTTAAAATAAAACATTTTTGCGATTAATTTAGATCAAATTTTACCTTTCACGGCAACCCCTTTCCGAAAATACAAAGTTATATCACAAAAAAATTCGTTTTGTTACATTTATTTTGCATTCCCAATAAAATACATATTTTCCCTAATTAAAGTCGTCGATGAATCTGTTCATGTCGTTCAAACTCGACACACGATTGGACGAGTGTGGGGCGGTTTTTTGATCGACGATAAATCAAAAAGTTGCCACACGTTATTTGTATAACGATAATAACTGAAAATTAAGATTTTATAATAGAAGTGAATTTGTCCCAAGATGGTATTTTACGATTCCTGCCCACAGAAAATAAACAGCTGACAGGCTTGGTTATAATTGATATTCGTTTAATTTATTTTATACTATTGATAAACTCGCCACACCAATTGCGGCCGCATCGGTATGGACTGTATGTTTTTGGCGCTCTCACATTAACAATTAATAATTAACATTAATAATTTTCAACAAAACAATACCCCGACGGTCATTAAAGCTGAATTCGTTACCGAGTAATTCACAATTTTATTTACGGAATTTGCAATTTCAAAATCTCACTTGACAATTTTGATGATGTCATGCCCTAATTATTACTGCTTAAATGCCTCAAAATACAACAAATGTAATCATTTTCGACGATAACAGGCGCAACAATTCGTAAACGAGCCGTTATAACGAAATTCACGATTGATTTTACCTCTCTTGTTTACAATTTTAACATCCCGCCGGCCATGTATGGTCGAATAAAATGTTCACATATTCGAAACATGACTTGGCCAAGGATGGAAGGGATCACTAAAGAGCTAATAGAAAGTACATACGCGAGGGTATGATATTAATATGGAGAATATTTGTGAGCATATCACAGGACGGAAATATTTTGCACCCGGCTGTTTGTTGGCAGAACAACGATACGCTAAAGTTAATTGATCGAATACAGGGAAGTATTTGTTTATCATCTCACTTGCGAACATCGAGGTTTTGGCGGAATTGTACGATCTTTACGATACGGTCTTTCTTAAATAATAACTTTTTCAATAAATGTTCATTTTACTTTTGCGTCTTTATTATATGTCGGGTTGTCATTTATTTTAAGATCGAAATTGTTCAAATACTCCAACAGGTGTATAAGTACAATAATAATAGTACTTACCAAAGTACTTACCAGGGAATTTAATACACACAATGTGTTAAGGTCGTCGTAACTCCCGTTTATTAATTATAATTTTTTTTACATTCTGCTTAAAAAACAATGTCGTTTTGCAGTCATCTAACGTAACTCTCGCGACCAAATCTTTTTTGTTTTGTATGGCATCGACTTGGCGACGAATTTATTGCCGACTGAATTTAAATTGTGTTTTAGGATAAGTTATTTTCTGTTTGTTGGTTTCTAAACTTTACAAACTTGGGTAGCAATTACTATTAATGTGAGATTGGTGCATATGAACGATTGAATATCGCGACTGGATGTCCGATATCTGAGAATGCGTACTTCTCTTTCAACATTAATTTTCAGGATATCAGCGTTCATGTGGTCGAATAAAAATTATTTATCAAATGGATTGGTATTTCGAGACACTCTCAAAATTATTTGGGATCCACTATCATATCATTCTTATTTTTTATATTCATGTTTTTTTCAAGAATCACCTTCGTTATATTTAGTGTACCTTCGCAAAAGAAAACTCTTTGGTGTCATCGTTCCTATTAGTGTAATTGAAATATATGGAAACCTCGTAAGTGGCGTTGTGATGCGAATATTTGATACTAGGTCAGCAGCATTACAAAGAGTGCTATTTATGAATGCTGAAAGTACATGGCATTACTAAACATTTTGCCAATATATGATGTTTTCTGCCCGATTTAAACTAACTCGCACCCAAACCAAGGCATGTCGACATTTAAAAATTACTTGTCTTTGGGTAAGCTCTGAAATAGTATAATATAAATGTAAATGAGAAATTAGGTCACGCTAGCTCACGAAACGGGAGGATTTTCAAAGTGATCTTGTGTAATATTTCGGAGAAAAAAGTTCGAAAGGAAAGTAGGTCAACCTATCTCCTAAAACAGGGGAGTATCCTGCGTAATATTTCGGAGGGAACGTAGGTTAACCTATCTTTCAAAACAGCGGGTGGCGACTTTCAAAGTGGTTCAAAATCACAAATTAATAATTATCAGATTGGGTTTAGGGATAAATCGAAAAGTTGAATTTCCAGCGCACCTAACCTTAATTAGTTGATTGATATTTATATTTTTGGGGGGGGGGGGGGGAGGATTATTGTGCACAGGATTTGTACAAAAGATCCACCCTGTAACTAATATAGTTTCCAGCCTACCTCGTGTCTGTTAGATGGAAGGAGTAACAAATGTGAAACCCTTTGCTGTTCACGCGAGTAAGCAACTGACACTGTGATACATTGCATGAAAGTTTTGTCCGCGGCAGGTGTTAGCAGATGTCCTTTCGTTGCCGATGAATTCGCTTGTTTTAATTAAACATGAATCCGCTTAAAGGGAACTCGGTTAACGGAAAGGCCTCTCTTTAATTCATAATATTACTCGGAGGAGCGCTTTTTCGAGTATCTATGCCGTTTTAAATGAGTTATATGGAAGGCTAAGGGCACCTAACTTGTTAAAATCGGCAAAAGCACTTTCGCACTTTTTTTTTCGACTGCGAAGCACTTTCGCACTCATAATTTGCTTAGAGTTAACACTGATTGTATGTATTGTTATTGTATGTTACAATCGATTTTAAAGCGAAAGAGCGAATTTCAGTACAGACAATGTTATTAATACAGAAGGCCAATAACAAGTTTAATTTGCATAATATGACTACACTCTAACAAAGGCAAATTATTAAAAAAATAGTAACTTCTACTATCTCACAATAAGCCAGTATAATTACAAATTTCTGAAAAATTGTACACAAATGCACTGTAATATATGTCTGACCAAAGTCAGACTTCCTCAGACAAGCAGTTTACAAGAAAGACAAAAAAAGAGTAGTCATGCATTGAGGAAGAATAGGGAGTTAGTCTCCCATAACCCCAACTGGAAGCACTAATATTTGAAATAAAATTATCATCAATATTACTTGTAAAATCTTATTAGTTGATCGAGACCGACAAAAGGAGGACCATTATCAATACTGAAGCATCCGGAATGTGGTGAAGTATTGATTTGAAAATGCTGACTTTCGTCTTTGTGTATCAGTGATAAAACGTAACTCCCAGGAACATTAACACTCTCACGAACAATAAATTGGCCCTGTAAAAATATAAAACAAAATGACCAATTGAAAAAAATAATAGATCAGGAATATACTACCATAGAACATATAAACAGGAAGTTGACATAAAATATAGACATTTACACAATTTCATTTTTGTATGAAAAAGACAAGGAAGTAAAAATCATCAACTGGATTGAAAGGAAGGCTTTTAATAAAACAACTGATACAAATATAAACATTTACACAATTTCATTTTTGTATGAAAAAGACAAGGAAGTAAAAATCATCAACTGGATTGAAAGGAAGGCTTTTAATAAAACAACTAAAACAAATATAAACGAGGACTATTGAAATTTGGTTTGAAATATATTTTATCACTACCTATATCGGAATTTCGGAAATAAAGCATTTCTGAGCAAAAATATTTTGTACGACAAAATGATTTAAAACTTTTGAGCTATGGGCTCAACAAGAAAAAGGGTACTCCCGTAGTTGATGTACCAGGTTAGGGTTAGGCCATGATTTGTTTGATTTTCCTTATTTTAGTTCTATTACGAGTTCGGGGACTGTCTGTGTTAGTCAAGTGAATATACTCCCTGCTCATAAGCTTCAATCCCTTTGCACAACTTGATGTAAAGTAGGCGAACAAAATTAGTTACCACCATATTGGTACACACACTTCTGGAGCGCCAGAAAAAGAATAGTCAATACAAATTCCAAAAAAAGACTCCAATTCAGGAAATACCTCTGGATATGTTTAATAACTGACTCGTATAAAATTGTGGAGAATATGACTACATTAAGTTCAAGATATAGTTTCGTAGGGTTTTGGAACATGAAACTTGTTTGTCACACATTGTTACATCATTGTCTCGGTATGGGAATGTAGAATTTCAGTATTGTTGAATTTTGATTTACAACAAGTTATGAGATGGAAATGATAATTGATAATGATAATTGATTTTACAAAAAACGGCACTTCGTAAGATGCGAAATTTGAAATTAATGCTTTCATTTTTGAAATTTCGTTTTTTCCAAATATTTTACATATTCTTATACCGGTAGCCAAGTCAGGTTAAAAATTGCAAAATAATGCATATATACTGAATACTAATGAAAATGTAATGTAAAATTTTTAGACATATATTTTCAACTACAACTTTACAAGATCCAAGTAAACCAATTAGACAACGGAGTAAAAATATCTAAGAAATGCCAGCCGGAAGAGAATATGTCATATACTAAATACATAGTACACAGACCTGTTTCATGCCTCCTTTTTTCAGGATGTGAATTGCATTTCCTCTGGTAAGCTTGCCATGAAACCACTTGTTCTGAACAAAAGTAATGAATCGATCAGTCATAAATCCAAGTCAAAATTGATTAAAATATTATTATCAGCGGATCCATTAATGGTGCATTAAATTCTTAAATATTGGCAACAACTATGTAGTAAGAGGGCTTCGCAGCACTTGCCAATGACATTTTATGGAAGTTATGACATCTGAGAAGCAGCCAACCTATGCCAAAGCAACAATGAAAATTGGACATAAAAACTCCATTGTGCTTTGTGCTATAGTCATTTATTGCTTGCTGAAAGAATATGTCTTAAAAATAGACTAGACCATTGATTTGGCTATTGTCCATAAAGATTTTTGACAAATTTTAAAATTATGGGTAAATTTGAATTTTATATAATGCAAAATAAAAAATGTACCTTGGCAATGACTAATATTGTAATAGTTTACTGCAAGTGCCAATGCATTTGAATATGAAATATTAAATATATTTTCAAGACATAAATTTGCATAAATTATTGTGAATTGATAGAAACTGAAATTGGTAATGCAGAAAAGTTTAGATGAATATTATTCTGATGGATTTCCAATTTTTACAGTGTCAGACGTTAAACAAGTATATTTTATGTATAGCCAAAAAGTCAAGTGCGTATAATGAGATATTTTCAATGAGAAGTATTATGAATTCTTCCTAAAATCATATTCACTAATTTGAATATCATGAATTTGTAATGTATTCAAATTTTCAGTTCGTTTTGGGCATCTTTGAAAGTGATATAATAATATTTTGGAACATACTAGAATACATACACACTTCACCTTTGGTGAAATGTTCAGCAAATATGTTTAAAAAAAAGCATTGAAAAATTTGCACTTCCTGAAACATTTATTATTAAGGGCAAACATGGTAGAATTATCATAAAGTGGAATTTCCCCAACATCTTGTGCACTGCTTAAATTGTATTATAATATTTTCTGATATGTTGCATATTCTCATTGCTGGCAAGGCATACATGTTGCATACATATGATGAATGTGTACATGATTGCTTTCAATGGCACAATCCAAGCCCACTTCCCTTTTTGAGTATCATTACATCATGCACACAAAATATCATGATAAATGACAAGATATACAGTTAACTGCAACGCTCATCATACATTTGCAAGGATAAAACTGACACATTGTTTGCCATTTAGTCTGTTGCCATTATCATAACAGAGATTTGTCAACGTGAATTTTTACTGTAATTTATATAGGTTATACATATTTGAAATGAATTAGGCTAAAATTAAATAAAAAATTTTACATTGATATTGCTTAAAATTTATGATATTTCATTTCTGAATACCGTTGCCAAACTAAACAATTGGCAGCATCCTAATATGTATTAGTAGGTCAAAAAGTCTTATTACGATAATTCTGATTTTTGCATTATGACAATATTGATTGGTGGTCTATTCCGAGACCATACCACAGGCTGATCAATGAAGTGGATCTGTATAATAGCGTATAATATAAAATACAAGCTTTCGTATATTAATGACAACAGACATAAAACAAAAATATTGCTTCCTCATATTAAAATTGGCACGACTGACTCATGTTAATATAAAATACCATTGAATAGTTACAAGGTATACATGCAGTCATATATAATATCCATAATAATGTGCATATAATGTGATGGCTAATTATGCAGGATATCTATAAAATAATTTATACAATGTGCTATTTATTATATGGATCAATTTTAAGAAGCTTACACTTCACATAATATTATACCAACTGTAACACGAAAAAGCAAACAAATTAAAGTTCGGTTATTCAATAGTTCAACTATGCATAACCTTGATGATCTAAATATTTTTGAAAGTCAATAATTACATCATTAATGATTGACTATCTAAGCAAATCAACATGACATTGAAGACATCAGATGCACCAAGTTGCAATATTCAATGCTGTAATGTATACAGTCTGGTTTTTTATAAACTCTAAAACAATTATCTCATTTCCTTATTGTGAAATATGTTTTGGTCGAAACTAGTTTTCCTGTTGCAACAGTTTTCCAAGCAAATAATGGAAATTAAGTAATAGTCTTTTTGGGATTATATTTCGATGATATACATTGTGAATTTCCCATAATACCTGATTTATTGATATTATTCATGACATTATAAACCAGGGGTGAACAACAGGTGGCCCACAGGCCACAAAGCGGCCCGCCAAGCCATTTAGTGTGGCCCTTGTCAACACTCAAAGATTTTTTCCCATCAAGCCCAAAATCATAATCCAACAGTTTATGTTCAAAAAGATGCTCACATAGGTAAAAAATACATGTTTTTTGCTCTTGTCACCAAGTTTTGCCACCAACTTTATTACTGTAATTCATTGAGCACATGGAAAAGTAAATTTTTTCTGTGGTCTAGCTAGTTAGTTATATGGCCCACACAACACGACAAAAAAAGTTGCACACCTCTGTTATAAACAATACTGAACAATATTGTTCTTTAATTGAAAAGTCTACCAGTTTATTTAAATTTTTTGCAGTGCTCATTCGTGCTTAGATCAAGGCCCTGATATATATTAATATGTAAAGAGATACTATTTTTAGAACCATAATCTTTCTGGTTCGGCATTGACTAACCAATTCGTTACACTCTGGTTGAGGTTGTGAGCATGGGCTTAATCAGAGATGAGTAAACTGTAGGAAATTAGAGATCTATTTTTTAAACAATAAACTTACCTCAGCATCTTGCTTTGCAGATTTTGTGTTGTGATCATTGTACAGTTGAATTATGTCTGCGATTGTCTCACCAGCTTGAATCCTTTGTATAATAGTTTTACCTCCAAGCGGTCGAGGCATTTTTGAAGGCATGGAAGTTTGTGATTAATTAAAATTTATCAGCATCATTTTGTTTTGGAAAGTGATTTTCTGTAAACAAGTGAAATACAGATTGCCTTACTGGCATCATGGCTCTTGAAACACAAAAATAATATCCAATTTGTATCATTTCATTGAAATAATTTCACGGATTCAAAAATCCATTCTAGTATATGAACGTGAATATCTCAACAAAACTAATGGTTGTTATTGGACACAAAGTCGACCTCTAGATTGTTTGCTGTTGTTGTTGGGGTTTTTAAAAAATCTATTTTCCCTACAACAAAAGGACAGATTGATTTTAAATACTTAATTAAAGATAGAATAAGTCGCTATTATTTCACCTATTTTTTCATGTTTTCTCTGCCCAAATTTTGACGGTTTTCGAAATTGCATTTATATCTGTATATGGACGCTATGTTTGACAAAAACAAACAACATCTAATTTATTAGGATGGAACTGAAACCTTGACACAGACTCCAACCGAACTTTGTATCTCAATCCACAGATATGCGACTGATATCAGTATATCATGATAAAATACTAAGAAAAACAACTATCAACATTCATATACCAACTCAGAACAGCCAAAATGACAATGAAAAACTATTACACAAAGTGACTGAGACTGTATAATATGTCAGGTCAATATTCTGCTATTAGATCAGCAGACTTGGAGCCTTATTTCCATCTACATTAGGAGCGTAATATGATTACTCAGATGATTTGGACAAATAAATATATCAGAATTATGAATCAGAACAAATCCTTGTGACTGTATAAAATCTTTACTTAGGACAATGGCAATTTGTTATGGGTAAAATACTAGCCTATAATACATTACATGGAGCTATAATTGAAAATAAAAAGCGAAAAAACTTGATTGCTATAATCAGAAAAAATTGTTCAGTTTTGAGAATGTTTTCCAGTACAGTAGGGCACAATTCTACGATTCCAAGATGTCCCTACATTTAATCCAATCAAAGAACCCTCTATTTGCCTCTGAAACGAGGGTGATCAGGCACGATGGCAGAAGCTTGTCTCAATAATAATTTAAATCAATCGCAAGTGTGTCCACCATCATATAGCCAAAATTGCATTTTTTGCTAAAATTGTAAAAACTCTCGAATGCTACAATTATTATTTTTTTCCTCTGGCAAAGCGAAGTATTTTTTTCCAAATCCAATGGTGACGTTTCTAGATGGTGCTTTCTTTGTAAAAGAGGAGTATACACTCACTGTTGTAATTGATGTCTTCTAATGGGGGGGGGGGGGTATTCTTGGAAACGAAGAACTGTGCCATACCGAAATAGAACAGAGATAGAATTTACTTATTTATCCTGGGGGGAAAAGGTGATCGGATCAGATGGCTTAATCATATGGCGAACCACGGCCTCTCGTCCGGTTACCAGTCAATGTCAGGTATGGGATTAGTTAGCCAGATAATCAAAAATAAGCTGTTATCTGAATTAGGACTATGAAAAGTAACAAATGTATGCAATATATGACTCAAGTCTGGCAATAACATATGCTCAACTCAATAATTGGTCACAAATCAAAGTCCGAACTATTTTTGTAAACATATCTAGTATTACTTTAAAATGACAAACACGTTTCTGATGAACTCAGTACTATTGTGTCAATATTATATTATAAATGAAATAGCGGGATGACGAAGAATTCATACTAATCACCTACTGCTTCGTACTCACTATTATACAGAGCTGAATATAATTCATAACTACAGAACTAAAATGTGATTAAATAACATACTTCTATGGTCAATGTAATATTTTAGATGAACTGACGAACTAGACTGACATGTCGATATTATTTTCTCATATAACTGCACTCTTCCTTATTTTCTCATAGTTTTAAGTTTGGTTTTTATTCATGGTTTTGATATTATGAAAATGAAAACCCACCAACCGCACCAAGGTAATTTATAACTTAACGTAATAAGAAATTCGTGAGCTCTGTTATTAATATTATAGAGTCATATTCAGTATATTGAAAAAAAAATGACTGTGGCAATATTAGTAACTATGAACTGGAGGTGGAAAAAGTTTCAGTGAAGAATGTTCACGCTAAAATTAATATAATTTTCAGTGTTGCAAAAATGAACACAATCTACACAACATCTGAATCTGGTATTTGCTTTTAAATTATTTTCACAAGCCCAGTTGTACATTTCAGTAACCTAATACGGTAGCAGTATAGTGGCCACAAAGTGTTTCACACTGTCACACTCGGTCACTATAGTCAGATAGTTTTATTTGTATATTCTTACTATTTCATGTCTGTTGTCCTACTTTACTGCTAGCAGTTACACTTGTTGGGGTGCATGTCGCACATCTGTGTCTTAGGCCAGTACGCTACCGGTACACAGCACACTATCCAAATTCCAAGAATGTCCCTCCATTTGGCTCAATAAAACAAACACTCTATGTGTCTCACAAAAGAGGAGCGTCTGGGAACACGTCAGATGCTTCATATCGTGCCATGCTTGTCTCAATAACAATCTAAATTAAGCGCCGCTGTCACGTGACCAAAATTGCCATTTTTTGCTAAGAACTCTCGAATGCCACGATAAAAAAATTTTTCCTTCTGTAAATCGGATTATTTTTTCCCAAGGAATTTAATGATGACGTTATTAGATTGCGCTTTTCTGTAGTATTTTGCGCAACTCCATTATACTGTACATTGAGGGACAACAGTGTCCAGGCGTCTCCCAAAAGAGGGGTGTCTGATCATCTGTAAAATTTGTTTCTCTGAAATGGGACAATGTCACCCCATCTGTATAGTGTGCCGTATTGCGGTAAGGTCTTGAACATGTACCTAAACATAGATAGTAAAATTTTGCGTGTTTTTTGAATGGTGTGATAAATTTTTCTCTGTCCCAAGCAGAATGTCATCATAGATCATCTATCCATCGCTATATACATGATATAATAACAATACATCCCATTTAATTAAACAATTATTTTTTGCCTGTAACAAATAGTTCAGAGCGTTCCCCTTCACCCAATCATTGAAACATCTACTCGCAGTTTTATTTTTTGTTTTTCAGATTACTTCAAAGTGATTAAATGAAGTAAAACACATAATGAAAAAATCAAACAAAGACTCCGATATCCTGTGAAATAACAACCTTATTCCTATATCCTAGTCTGAAATCAATACCCAAGAATGAAAAACCTCACTTACACCCTTTGTAACCAATTTATTTCCATATCCTACTTTACCTTATTATAGTAATTTTACTGTTACCGATAACTTTAATTACATATTACAATCTGACTATAATTTGGCAATAATACTGTAATAGGCTCTAATTTGAGGAATGAAACGGTCTCGCCCACCTCTTCGGCTCTTCATGCACCCAATTCTGGCAACTTTGGTTGGGCAACTTGGCATTTGACTCCAATTATAATCAGCTTGGCAATATGTTTTCAATAGAATCTTCCTTTTATATTTTAATTAACAATTAGAAGATCGATCAACTTGGCAATGGCAACCATTACAAAAATATCAATATGCTGTGGCAAATAATTATTTTCTTTCCTAGTATTTATTCATTTTTTTTGTTTACTGTATAGTATACCCTAAAATTTAACGCGTTTTATTCTTACATAACTTCTCAGTGGTTTTGTGTGTGGCTGGTGGGTGCATGTGAGCCTGTGTGAAATAACTTAATAATTTTAGGAGAGTAAACACGTACCCGGTACCGGTACCACTTCCTCTTGGCAAAACCTTCCATCTTACATTTCGTACGTTATAAACCTTATCTAAGGTTTGCTCCCCTGATTTCATAATCAGTTTTTATTTATTTGTTTTTATCTGTCAAATGTATTGTTATGCTGATTATGGAGTCGAAATAAACTCAAAAACTTATTATTATTATCCAGTCTATGTTATACAGTTATACCTGTGTATATGATACTGTTCAATTATTATAGTAATACAGTAATAATGCATAACACAGTAGTACAGCAGTACCGGTAATAAGAAGTCTTTATAATACAGTAATATCTTATATATAAAATATATTAGGGCGGCTAACTGGCTGGCACAGGTCTGCAGGTAGAACTATATATTCACCATGTTAGAACGTGGCTTAATAAGATACTCCACAAGCTGACAAGAAAAAAACTCTTGATATTAAATAGATATTCTTTAATAATACCGGTACAGTACGGTACCAGGTACCGGTACCGGTACAGAGGTACCGGTCATAGATGGGACCCCATCCAACCATCCCTGTCAAGTGCAGTTTTAAGTATTCTGTGGCGTCTGCAGCTGCCACAAAACCATGGCGGTATTTCCATACCATGGCCGCTACGGCCAAACCTATGGCGACTGACATTTTAGCTGCCACAGACCAATGTCGAGCTGCCGTTACCGCGGCAGCAAATTGAAAACCAATGGCAGGTAAAATTTTTCTGCCGTAACCGCGGCAGGTGGGCCGTAAAGACAGGGCTGTCCCTTATGGTGTCAAATATTGGGTAAGTTGGAACGTTTTTCTTATGGATACAGTTTTGGTGGATTTGGGGTTAGGGTTAGGGTTTGGGTACATATAATTCCACATGATCAAATAAAATCTGGTACATTAATTTGTTAATATACCGTTAATACTGATTACTGAATACTGAATAGCGCTATAAAACCATGGCAAGAGCTGCCGCGGTTCGTTCGTGGCAGGAGCTGCCATGAAGTGGTAAGAACTGCGCCTCATCCCTGTTCAAATACTCGCTTGAAGATGTAAATATCCACTAGCATATGAATGCACAATTTCACACAAATTGGCATTGACAACCAACTGAATGCATTCAGCATTGCTGTCAGATACGGTATCGGTTCTGGTACAAAAGAAACGCATCCACCAGTATTTTAGTCGTTGGCATCCACTCAGTGGGCACGGCTTTTATCATGGCACAGATCATAAGTCACAGGGATAACCCGCGCAGGTCATTCGTCGATAGTTGAGCATCCACGGTAAAAAAAGTTGTCGAACGCTAAATTGTCGTTGTTGTTGCGGTTTTTATAACGTAATATTGGCCCGAATTGTTTAATAGTG